CTACTACATCGGGTGTAGTCAGGTAGTGACAACAACGTCACCAGCGAACTAATACCCATGACCCAGTCTCTCTCAGCAGAGCCATTGAGACCCTCACACACAGCACAGAGCTCTGTACTTCAAGTGTCCACCCCTAGAATCTGTGAAACACCTGCACTCGCGAACAAAAGAACGGGACCGAACAAATCCACTATCTTCTGAAAGCGAGGCAAAAGACTCGACCACTTGGCCACCAAGACCAATTGTAACGGAGACATGCTGTCACAATTGATAGCTGGTTGACCCAGTGTGAACATATGATGCTAGTTTCAGTTTTATAGCTGACACCCAGTTAGTAACGTGGACAATACCATGTCGGCCATCTTTACTGCGAGGAAATTTCCTAGTCTCATTTTGGATTGGTCAAGTTGGTAGCCCTGGTCAATTGAATAACACGGCTCAGGGGGGATTCGAACTTACCATCACTCAGTTGATAGGTCAACGGACCACTGCGTTAGCACAACACTGAGAAGGTTGTAGACTTGTGTGCGCGCTCCAGTGTGTGTCAGTGTGCGTGTTTGTGTGTCGGTGTGCGTGTTTGTGTGTCAGTGTGCGTGATTGTATCTGTAGGTGTGTGTGTTTGTGTGTCAGTGTGCATGTTTGAATCTTTCCGTGTGTGTGTTTTTGTGTCAGTGTGAGTGTTTGTATCTGTCGCTGTGTGTGTTTGTGTGTCAGTGTGCGTGTTTGTATCTGTCGGTGTGTGTGTTTGTGTTCCAGTGTGCGTGTTTGCATCTGTAAGTCTGGTGTTTGTATCTGTCGATGTGTGTGTTCGTGTATGTGTGTGTGTTTGTGTGTCAGTGTGTGTGTATGTATCTGTCGGTGTGTGTTTTTGTGTGCCAGTGTGTGTGTTTGTATCTGTCGGTGTCCCTGTGGCACTCCATGTGTGTATGTGTGCGCAAGATGTGAATCTGTACGTAACATAATTTATCTGTCTGTGCGTGTATCTATGTGTATCTCTATGTGTGTGCATGTCTGTGTGTGTTGGTGACCATGTGTATCTGTGAGTTTGTGTCGGTATGTCATTGTTGTCATGGTCTCACCTCATCCTCGCCACTTATCGTTTCCCACTTGAAATACACGTGACGACACTTTGAGGTCTGCCTAAACTTTCGAACAGTGCCTAGTCAAACTCTGATATGGGGCTGGCCGACAGTCAACCAGCAGACGACAAGACTCGACATTTGGCGCCAATGTTCCCGCCCTTTCATTTCGCCTCACATACTGCCCTCTCCGACCCCAATATTTCCACAGTTCAATAGTTTTCTTTCGTGCACAAACAGAATCAGACCAGTTCTAAGGGATCATAACAATTATTGATCGGGTATCGATCTCAGTTAAATGTTCTAGCCCATAATCATACGGGCCCTAGAGATTTAGCACAGGAACATTTAGGCTCGTGTACAGGTGGGCAGACACGGAGCTTGTTAGACGGGTAGCTGATTTGTGGTCAGGTAGCAATCAGGCCCCTAGTTATTTCACTGGTAGCCGATTTGTGGACAGGTGGCTATCAGGTGCCTAGTTATCAGACAGGTAGCTGATTTGTGGTCAGGTAGCAATCAGGTACCTAGTTTTTTCACTGGTAGTCGGTTTGTGGACAGGTACCAATCAGGCACCTAGTTATTAGACAGGTAGCTGATTTTTAGTCAGGTAGCCATCAGGCACCTAGTTATTTCACTGGTAGACGATTTGTGCACAGGTAGCCGATTTGTGCACAGGTAGCCAGGAGGCCAGGAGTGTGCAGTTTTGTTTCACCTGCCAGGTAAGATGATATCCTACAACTCTTGTGCTTACGTCTTCTCTGTCTAGACTGTGTGTGTGTTGTGTGACGTGTTCTCTGTCTAGGCTGTGTGTGTGTTGTGTGACGTGTTCTCTGTCTAGACTGTGTGTGTGTGTTGTGTGACGTGTTCTCTGTCTAGAGTGTGTGTGTGTTGTGTGACGTCTTCTCTGTCTAGGCTGTGTGTGTGTTGTGTGACGTGTTCTCTGTCTAGGCTGTGTGTGTGTTGTGTGACGTGTTCTCTGTCTAGACTGTGTGTGTGTTGTGTGACGTGTTCTCTGTCTAGACTGTGTGTGTGTTGTGTGACGTGTTCTCTGTCTAGACTGTGTGTGTGTTGTGTGACGTGTTCTCTGTCTAGGCTGTGTGTGTGTGTGTGTGTTGTGTTCTCTGTCTAGACCCTGTGTGTGTTGTGTGATGTGTTCTCTGTCTAGACTCTGTGTGTGTTGTGTGATTTGTTTTCTGTCTAGACTCTGTGTGTGTTGTGTGTTGTGTGACGTGTTCTCTGTCTAGACTCTGTGTGTGTTGTGTGACGTGTTCTTTGTCTAGACTCTGTGTGTGTGTTGTGTGTGTTGTGGTGTGTGTTGTGGTGTGTGTTGTGGTGTGTGTGTGTGTTGTGGTGTGTGTTTGTGTTGTGGTGTGTGTGTGTGTGTGTTGCGGTGTGGTGTGTGTTGTGGTGTGGTGTGTGTATTGTAGTGTGTGTGTTGTGGTGTGTGTTGTGGTGTGTGTTGTGGTGTGTATGTATGTGAGTTGTGGTGTGTGTGTGTGTTGTGGTGTGTGTGTTGTGGTGTGTGTGTGTGTGTGTTGTGGTGTGTGTGTTGTGGTGTTTGTTTTGTGGTGTGTGTGTTGTGGTGTGTGTGTGTTGTGTGTGTTGTGGTGTTTGTGTTGTGGTGTGTGTCTGTTGTGGTGTGTGTGTTGTGGTGTGTGTGTTGTGGTGTGTGTGTGTTGTGGTTTGTGTGTGTTGGGGTGTGTGTGTGTGTTGTGGTGTGTGTGTTGTGGTGTGTGTGTGTTGTGGTGGTATGTATGTGTGTTGTGGTGTGTGTGTGTGTGTGTGTTGTGGTGTGTGTGTTGTGGTGTGTGTGTGTGTGTTGGGGTGTGTGTGTGTTGTGGTGTGTGTGTTGTGGTATGTGTGTGTTGTGGTGGTGTGTATGTGTGTTGTGGTGTGTGTGTGTTGTGGTGTGTGTGTTGTGGTGTGTGTGTGTTGTTGTGTGTGTGTTTGTGGTGTGTGTGTTGTGGGGTGTGTGTGTGTTGTGGTGTGTGTGTGTTGTGGTGTGTGTGTTGTGGTGTGTGTGTGTTGTGGTGTGTGTGTGAGTTGTGGTGTGTGTGTGTGTGTTGTAGTGTGTGTGTGTTGTGTGTGTGTGTGTGTGTTGTGTGTGTGTTGTGGTGTGTGTGTTGTGGTGTGTGTGTTGTGGTGTGTGTGTTGTGGTGTGTGTGTTGTGGTGTGTGTGTTGTGGTGTGTGTGTGTTGTGGTGTGTGTGTTGTGGTGTGTGTATTGTGGTGTGTGTGTGTGTTGATGTGTGTGTGTGTTGTGGTGTGTGTGTGTTGTGTGTGTGTTGTGGTGTGTGTGTGTATCAGACATCAGAGGTGACCACGAAAACATTATAAAAGTTTTTTTGGGGGGGGGTGGGGGGGTGGTGTAAACGTGTCCACGTGCCATCAACATCACAAACCCTGGGCAACTGACCAGAGCACAAGACACACACCTAAAGAAACAGAGAGAGAGAGAGAGAGAGAGAGAGAGAGAGAGAGAGAGAGAGAGAGAGAGAGAGAGAGAGAGAGAGAAAGAAAGTTTGAGAGAGAGAGAGAGAAAGAAAGTTGGAGAGAGAGAGAGAGAGAGAGAGAGAGAGAGAGAGAGAGAGAGAGAGAGAGAAAGAAAGTTTGAGAGAGAGAGAGAGAGAGAGAGAGAGAGAGAGAGAGAGAGAGAGAGAGAGAGAGAGAGAGAGAGAAAGTAGCACAGTAGAAGCCTTTTTATCTACTCCTGTTCCTGGCTCGCTAGCGTAGTTGGTTAAGCCTGAACTCGCAGTGACCGGGTGATGAGCTTCTTGTGGTCCTGGTTCACGCCCGCCCGGGGCTAGGCAGAAAAGCAACATTTCTCCCAGATTTACGGTAGCTATCACGGAATCAAGGCCGAAGGGTTGCAATATTCACAGTACCGAGCCAAAAGGGTTAACAACTCATGGTTTCTGAATTAAAAAAAAAAAAAAAACTCCACTCCTGAGTGCCAGATTTTCCCGCGACTTAATCCAACTAAATGTACCAGCTTGTCGCCGACCGGCTTCACTATTACAATTATTATTATGAGATGAGTGGTATGTTAATATAATTACAAATGTGAAATAATATGAAAAATAAATAAATAAATACATACTTATAAAAGAGAATCTAAATATATGTTCTAGTTGAAGAAAATTCAGCTAAACTAAACAAAATTGAGGTGCGAGGGCTTGGGTGTCATGGTTCCGCGCTAATGTGTGTAACTGATGTGTGTAACTGATGTGTGTAACTGATATGTGTAATTTGAAAATGCGTTGTCGTGTGTAGTTAGTTAGTCGACAGATTATCATCATTACACAGCAAACCATTCAGTCTAAAGTGTTCAGATCCCCCCCCCCCTCATCTCCACCTCAACCACCGCACTCAATCTCGCAGGGTGAAGCGACTAATGACATCAGTCATGTGTTGGTTTCTTCGTCCCAAACACTATACCTACAGTATCAGTTCACACACACGCTAGATGACAAACTCAAGGATGGTTTCGCACAGATGCACAAACTTCGTAGCAATGGCCAAAGTCTTTAAAAAAAAAAAAAACTCCCAGTTTACCCCCTGGCACCTGACATTTACTCTTCCCTTAGATTTCCCTTGCCAGGTTTTGAACCTACTTGTTCCATTTTCTTTCACTTTCTTCCATACTGAACTCATCTGATCAGTTGTTTCCTCCCCTTCATCCATTCCCACGTCTACCCTCGCATGACGTCACACACTAAAATAAACGGTGTTTTATCTTCAGTGTAGCACTAGGACAACCAGAGTGTATAGATGTGACCTGACTCGTGTACACACCTGTCTGGCAGCAGGACATCAATGTGTACACCTGTCTCGTGTACACATCCGTTTAGCAGCAGGACATTATTGTGTGACCACCACGCTTGATGAGCTGTGACCACCATGCTTGATGAACCGTGACCACCACGCCTGATGAATTGTGACCACCACGCTTGATGAGCTGTGACCACCACGCCTGATGAGCTGTGACCACCACGCTTGATGAGCTGTGACCACCACGCTTGATGAGCTGTGACGACCACGCTTGATGAGCTGTGACGACCACGCTTGATGAGCTGTGACCACCACGCCTGATGAGCTGTGACCACCACGCCTGATGAGCTGTGACCACCATGCTTGATGAGCTGTGACCACCACGCTTGATGAGCTGTGACGACCACGCTTGATGAGCTGTGACCACCATGCTTGATGAGCTGTGACCACCACGCCTGATGAGCTGTGACCACCACGCCTGATGAGCTGTGACCACCACGCCTGATGAGCTGTGACGACCACGCTTGATGAGCTGTGACCACCACGCCTGATGAGCTGTGACCACCACGCCTGATGAGCTGTGACCACCATGCTTGATAAGCTGTAACCACCATGCTTGATGAGCTGTGACCACCACGCCTGATGAGCTGTGACCACCATGCTTGATGAACCATGAAAACCATGCTTGATGAGCTGTGACCACCATGCTTGATGAACCGTGACCACCACGCTTGATGAGCTGTGACCACCACGCTTGATGAGCTGTGACCACCACGCTTGATGAGCTGTGACGACCACGCTTGATGAGCTGTGACCACCACGCCTGATGAGCTGTGACCACCATGCTTGATGAGCCGTGACCACCATGCTTGATGAGCTGTGACCACCATGCTTGATGAGCTGTGACCACCACGCCTGATGAGCTGTGACCTCCATGCTTGATGAGCTGTGACCACCATGCTTGATGAACCATGACCACCACGCTTGATGAGCTGTGACCACCATGCTTGATGAACCGTGACCACCACGCCTGATGAGCTGTGACCACCATGCTTGATGAGCTGTGACCACCATGCTTGATGAACCGTGACCACCACGCCTGATGAGCTGTGACCACCATGCTTGATGAGCTGTGACCACCATGCTTGATGAGCTGTGACCACCATGCTTGATAAACTGTGACCACCATGCTTGATGAGCAGTGACCACCACGCTTGATGAGCCGTGACCACCACGCTTGATAAGCTGTGACGACCACGCTTGATGAGCTGTGAAGACCAGGCTTGATTACTGTGACGAACACCCTTGATGAGCTTTGACCACCACGCTTGATGAGCTGTGACCACCACGCTTGATGAACTGTGACCATCACGCTTGATGAGCCGTGACGACCACGCTTGTATCAGAGCCGTGACCACCACGCTTGATGAGCTGTGACGACCACGCTTGATGAGCCGTTACGACTCGAGTTGAGCAGTTCTATACAAGCTGGGTACCGTTCTTCTAGCTGGACTTATGAGGGACAGAACTCTCAGTCTCTCCTCAAACCATACAACAACAGATCGGTGCGGTGTTCACTTGTCTCTCTCTCTTGGTCTTGCCTGTTTATGGAATCGCTAACAGATTCTGAACAAAACAGGTGTTCATTTACAAGACTGGGTCCACCCCAGGGAAATCTGACTGATACAACGATCCCTAGCTAGGGATGGATCCTCAGCCGCTGCCTTGGTATAAAAGCGCCTAAACCATAGGACCATGCGTTCTCTATTTAGTGAAGGAAATGGGTTTAAACATGTTCTGACAAGCGGGTCAGTAAATATGCAAGTGTCAAAGGTCAGAAGCACAACAACCATATCCAACTTCGACGTACACACACACACACACGCGCCAACCGACACCGCCACACACACACACACCAACAGACACCGCACACACACACACACACAAACACACCAAGAGACACCGCTACACAGACTCCAGCCCGTTATTGGTGTATCGATCTCTGGCAAGGTCGGCCAACCAATAAGCCACATCAGGTAGATTAGAGATTTTGTTTGACTATTGATATCCGTGTTTCTGTCATCGGCGTGCCATTCAGATTGTTGGTTCAGCTTGTGACGGGGGTGCAGACAAGGAACTCATGTGCCAGCATAGTCCCCCAGGGATCCGCCTTCGTCTAGTGGCTGGACGCTCGCCTGTCGGTTTGATTTCCACACGGCATCTAGGCGAATGTTTTCCCCTTTACATCTGACTGGTTCAGCCTAGTTAAAAATCCCGGAAAGTAAAGGTGGCCGTCGTGATTTTGACCATATTACCCATCAAGCGTAGATTAGTCTATGAACATATGGGTGTGGCATCATATACCTGACGCCTCGCTGGAATATAAAGGCTACCAGTTAATATGGTGAACTGTGCCTTGTTCTTGTCAGACAGAAACGGGGAAAGCCTGTGAAACAGTCAACAAAAACTCCCTGACCCAACCACACTCAGTGTTGTGTGTTTGTACAGGGTGTTTTTAAGTGCTTACTATACTATGTGTGTTTGTACAGGGTGTTTGTAAGTACTCACTATACTTTGTGTGTTTGTACAGGGTGTTTTTAAGTACTCACTATACTTTGTGTGTTTGTAAGTGCTCACTATACTTTGTGTGTTTGTACAGGATGTTTGTAAGTGCTCACTATACTTTGTGTGTTTGTACAGGGTGTTTGTAAGTGCTCACTATACTTTGTGTGTTTGTACAGGGTGTTTGTAAGTGCTCACTATACTTTGTGTGTTTGTACAGGGTGTTTGTAAGTACTCACTAAACTTTGTGTGTTTGTACAGGGTGTTTGTAAGAGCTCATTATACTTTGTGTGTTTGTACAGGGTGTTTGTAAGTGCTCACTATACTTTGTGTGTTTGTACAGGGTGTTTGTAAGTGCTCACTATACTTTGTGTGTTTGTACAGGGTGTTTGTAAGTGCTCACCATACTGACCTCGTAAGCCTGTGCGGTTTAACATTACCATGCCAGTGTCTCGGCATTAATCCCCGCTGTAGCTGAACTTGTACTTATTGCCTGCTCAGATGATGCACTGCCTGCTTCACCAACAGACATACCTATATTCCAGAACTGCATCCCTTACATGTATCCTCACTGACATCCCTGTATCCTAGAACTGTATCCTTACATGTATCCTCACTGACATCCCTATATCATAGAAATGTATCCTTACATGTATCCTCACTGACATCCCTATATCCTAGAACTGTATCCTTACATGTATCCTCACTGACATCCCTATATCCTAGAACTGTATCCTTACATGTATCCTCACAGACATCCCTGTATCCTAGAACTGTATCCTTACATGTATCCTCACTGACATCCCTATATCCTAGAACTGTATCCTTACATGTATCCTCACTGACATCCCTGTATCCTAGAACTGTATCCTTACATGTATCCTCGCTGACATCCCTGTATCCTAGAACTGTATCGTTACATGCATCCTCACTGACATCCCTATATCCTAGAACTGTATCCTTACATGTATCCTCACAGACATCCCTATATCCTAGAACTGTATCCTTACATGTATCCTCACAGACATCCCAGAGATCTGTCAAGGTCATGGCTGACCAGATGTCGGATAAATACAGAAACCTATTGGCTGGCAGGCTGTCACGTGACGACATCCCGACTGCCAGGGCGAAGATGATCCGGATGTACTTTTGCTCGGCGGGGACAGGTGAGCACCCCATGTTGGGACCAATCCGAATGGCAGCCATGGTAGTTTGGTGGATAGGGCACTTGTTCCGTAGACCTGGAATCAAATGTTTCATCCAGGCATCATGTAGTCAGAACAAGCGAGCAACATAATTAAATGCTGTGTGTGGGAGCGAACAACATGACTAAGTGCTGGGTGTGAGAGCGAGCAACATAATTAAGTGTTGTGTGTGGGAGCGAGCAACATAATTAAGTGCTGGGTGTGGGAGTGAGCAACATAAGTCAGTGCTGACATGGGAGCGAGCAACATGACTAAGTGCTGGGTGTAGGAGCGAGCAAAATGACTAAGTGCTGGGTGTGAGAGCGAGCAACATAATTAAGTGCTGGTGTGTGAGTGAGCAACATGACTAAGTGCTGGGTGTGGGAGTGAGCAATATGATTTAAGTGCTGTGTGTGGGTGCGGAGAAAGGGGAGCGGAAGGACATAAATAAGTGGTTAGAGTTTGTGTTGTTTTGCTTTCGTTTTGGTGGAAGCCACCGAGATTGTGTCAACGAAATCAGGGCCACCGATCCGATAACAAGACACGATATCTGAAGTCACGCAATCAATTTCCTCTTTTTTGTCGGAAGCGGCTAGAAGGGCAGACTGTGAAAAGCGTCCTGTTAAAAAGCTTCTAGGAGGGCAGCAGTCTGAACCTCTTCGCCGAGTTTACAACTTGATGTGATGGCCGACCACAGTTCTGCACTTGTTTTTCACATCCATTTGTTTAAGGTGAACCAGACATAGAATTCCTGGTGTCAACAACAGACTTCACAGAGCTCGGATATAGAATTCCTGGTTTCAACAACAGACTTCACAGAGCTTGGATATAGAATTCCTAGTTTCAACAACAGACTTCACAGAGCTGGAAGATGCTATTGTGTACAACATGGATGAAAACTTTATGGTGTGAAATCTCGTCTATCACAGAAGTGTTGCACATTTCGCAGTCTCGCTTTAAACCACAACCTGTGTCCTTTTTATGAACCAAAAAAATGTCTATAATTTGTGGGCCACTAGTAGTAGTTGTCGGCTCTGTGGCTAAGTCGATGCGAACACTTCACTTCGTAATGCCGGGATGCCGGGTTCGATCCCAGCTGCGGGCAATGCGCCTTGCGTTGGTTTCGACAGTGGTATCAAGAAAGCCGACCGTCCAGGAAGCAATGGCAAACTACTGGACGTAATTTGCCTAGAGAAACCACACAACAGCCAGGGGCTGTTAGGGTTGGTTCTGCAACGTCCTGTAAAGGATACGCAACAACCTTTTAAAGTAGTAGTTATGGGACTTGTATTTGTAGTAGTCGATAAAGTTGTAATAGTAATGGTTTCGCATTGGTGGTAGCAATAGCAGTAATAGTCATGGCAGCAGTATGAGGACCAGACGAAGCAGCAGTTGTAGTAGTTGTACTAGTAGTAGTAGTAGTAGTAGTAGTAGTAGTTGTTGTTGTTTTTGTTGTTGTTGTTATTGTTGTTGTTGTTATTGTAGCAGTAGTAGTAGGTAATGTAGTAGTTTTAGTAACAACAGCAGCAGTAGCAGCAGCAGTAGTTGTAGTACAAGTAGTTGTAGTATAAGCAGTAGTAGTTTCAGTAGTGGCAGTAGTTGTTGTAGTAAAAGAAGTAGTTGTAGTATAAGTAGTTGTAGCAGTAGTATTACTAGAAGTAATTGTAGTACAAGAAGTAGTAGTAGTATAAGTGATTGTAGTTGCAGTAGTAGTAGTTATTGTAGTGCAAGAAGAAGTAATAGTAGTAGTAGTAAAAGTAGTGGTTGTAGTAGTGGTGGTGGTGGTGATGGTGGTGGTGGTGGTAGTAGTAGTAATAGAAATAGTAGTTTTAGAAGTTGTTGTAGTATTAGCAGTATAAGTAGTAGTAGTTGTAGTAGTACTAGTAGTAGCAATGTGGTAGTAATAGTAGTAGTAGTAGTAAAAGTAGAAGGCGGGAGAGGAGGATGAGGAAAGAAGAGAAGACGTATATGAATGCAAGATATGAAATAATTCAGGGTTTTCAGCAACTGTTTATTGGACGTTGTCCTCGATGTTGTTGTTTGTCTGCCAGATTGTATGACCGAGCGGGATTGTTTCCTAAAGACTGTCTACCCCGGGCTCAGAGATTACTGCAAGAAGAAATATGGGCTGGAGTTTCAGGTACAGTGCCTAGTGATGTCTTAGTTGTAAAAAGGGGGGGGGGGGGGTATGTGCGTGTGTGCACGCGCGCATTCTATAATCTTCCAGAAAGCTTGTATTACGGCGTTCTCTTTGATGCGGCACGACAGTGATAACAGATACTACTTATGTAACCTGATGCCCGGCTCTCTAGCGAAGTTGGTTAAACCTGACTTTCGCGGCGGCCGGGTGACGAACTCCTTGTGGTCCGGGTTCACTCCCGGGGGTAGACAGAAAAGCCACATTTCTCCCAGATTAATGGTACCTATAATGGAATCAATGCCGAAGGGTTGCGATATCCATAGTACCGAGCCAAAGGGTTTACAACTCATGGTTTCTGGATCTGTAAAAAAAAAAAAAGGTAACCTGATTATTCATTTGCAAATATCTCTCTGTTTATAAATAAGTGATGGTTGTAAACAATGGAACGTCACAGTTGCTGATACTTGTTGTTTTCGGTCCATTCTAACATTGCGCAATATCATATTTTCTGACACACATGTGATGGTTCTAGAAACAACTCTGTTACAATTGTACCAAGTTGTGTACGGACGCTACAGTGTTGTATGAGGACTGTGCTGTCTATATATGATACATCAGCATCTAAAATCGAGAGTCTGTTTGTCTGTGTAGATGTCTGTGTCTACCCCTGTTCTCTACTTCAGACAAGCCAGCAGTTATATATTCAAGCAAAATTTCTGGTAACAGGTTGTGGATCTGAACTGGGGTCTTCCCCCTGACTCCATGGACGACCAGTTAGACCTGACCCCAGTCCGCAGCCGGGAGATCCACAAATGTCTAACATTGTCTGCAGGACCTGATTTTATCGTAAGTTTGTGAATGTTGTATGTCCTCTCTCACATGTCCCCACTGTATGTCCTTTCTCACATGTCCTCACTGTATCTCCTGTCTCACGTCTCCACTGTATGTCCTTTCTCACATGTCCTCACTGTATGTCCTTTCTCACATGTCCTCACAGTATGTCCTTTCTAACATGTCCTCACTGTATGTCCTCTCTCACATGTCCCCACTGTATGTCCTTTCTCACATGTCCTCACTGTATGTCCTGTCTCACATGTCCCCACTATATGTCCTTTCTCACATGTCCCCACTGTATGTCCTGTCTCACATGTCCCCACTGTATGCCCTCTCTAACAAGTTCCCACTTTGTCCTCTCTCATGTTCCCACTGTTTGTTCTTTCTCACATGTCCCCACTGTATGTCCTTTCTCACATGTCCCCACTGTATGTCCTTTCTCATATGTCCCCACTGTATGTCCTTTCTCACATGTGCCCATTGAATGTTTTTTCTCACATGTCCCCCCTTTTTGTCCTCTCTAACAAGTTCTCACTTTTTCTTCTCTCACATGTCCCCACTGTTTGTCCTCTCTCACATGTCTCCACTGTTTGTCCTCTCTCACATGTCTCCACTGTTTGTTCTCTCTCACATGTCCCTGCTTTCTGATCTCTCTCGCATGTCCCCCCTGTTTGTCCTCTCTCAAATGCCCTCACTGTTTGTTCTCTCTCACATGTCCCTGCTATCTGATCTCTCTTAAATGTCCCCCCTGTTTGTCCTCTCCCGCATGTTTCCACTTTGTCCTACTTCACATGTCCCTGATGTCTGATCGCTTTCACACGTTGCCACCATGTGATAGTCAAACAAAGATTCAACAAACTCAATAAAAAAATTCTACGACACACAAAGAGAATGTTACCACGTTGGTACGGGAGACACACCTCAGCACATAACATGTGGAAATGATAACTTTGGTACGGGAGACACACCTCAACACATAACATGTGGAAATGATAACGTTGGTACGGGAGACACACCTCAGCACATAACATGTGGAAATGATAACGTTGGTACGGGAGACACACCTCAACACATAACATGTGGAAATGATAACATTGGTACGGGAGACACACCTCAGCACATAACATGTGGAAATGATAACGTTGGTACGGGAGACACACCTCAGCACACAACATGTGGAAATGATAACGTTGGTACCGGAGACACACCTCAGCACATAACATGTGGAAATGATAACTTTGGTACGGGAGACACACCTCAGCACATAACATGTGGAAATGATAACGTTAGTACGGGAGACACACCTCAGTACATAACATGTGGAAATGATAACTTTGGTACGGGAGACACATCTCAACACATAACCTGTGGAAATGATAACGTTGGTACGGGAGACACACCTCAGCACATAACATGTGGAAATGATAACGTTGGTACGGGAGACACACCTCAGCACATAACATGTGGAGATGATAACGTTGGTACGGGAGACACACCTCAGCACATAACATGTGGAGATGATAACGTTGGTACGGGAGACACACCTCAGCACATAACATGTGGAAATGATAACGTTGGTACGGGAGACACACCTCAGCACATAACATGTGGAAATGATAACTTTGGTACGGGAGACACACCTCAACACATAACATGTGGAAATGATAACATTGGTACGGGAGACACACCTCAGCACATAACATGTGGAAATGATAACGTTGGTACGGGAGACACACCTCAGCACATAACATGTGGAAATGATAACTTTGGTACGGGAGACACACCTCAACACATAACATGTGGAAATGATAACATTGGTACGGGAGACACACCTCAGCACATAACATGTGGAAATGATAACGTTGGTACGGGAGACACACCTCAGCACACAACATGTGGAAATGATAACGTTGGTACCGGAGACACACCTCAGCACATAACATGTGGAAATGATAACTTTGGTACGGGAGACACACCTCAGCACATAACATGTGGAAATGATAACGTTAGTACGGGAGACACACCTCAGTACATAACATGTGGAAATGATAACTTTGGTACGGGAGACACATCTCAACACATAACCTGTGGAAATGATAACGTTGGTACGGGAGACACACCTCAGCACATAACATGTGGAAATGATAACGTTGGTACGGGAGACACACCTCAGCACATAACATGTGGAGATGATAACGTTGGTACGGGAGACACACCTCAGCATAACATGTGGAGATGATAACGTTGGTACGGGAGACACACCTCAGCACATAACATGTGGAAATGATAACTTTGGTACGGGAGACACACCTCAACACATATAATGGGGAAATGATAACGTTGGTACGGGAGACACACCTCAGCACATAACATGTGGAAATGATAACGTTGGTACGGGAGACACACCTCAGCACATGACATGTGGAAATGATAACGTTGGTACGGGAGACACACCTCAGCACATAACATGTGGAAATGATAACGTTGGTACGGGAGACACACCTCATCACATAACATGTGGAAATGATAACGTTGGTACGGGAGACACACCTCAACACATAACATGGGGAAATGATAACGTTGGTACGGGAGACACACCTCAGCACATAAAATGTCGAAATGATAACAATGGTCTGCTTAGACACTAGGGTTAAGAACAAGCTCAGACAAAGAACAAAATTGCAAATAATGTATAGGTACCTATTGTTTCTACAGAGACTGTCATCTTAGCAAGTGCCAGGTCTGCTCCGATATCTCTTCTAACAGCTTCTGTCTATCCCACAGGTGTTCCTTGGTCAGAAATATGGCGGCCGATTTCTGCCAGCGGTGATCATTGCCCGACAGTTCGACGCTATCCTAGGGGCGCTGACCGCCCACAAGGGGCGGGCTAGCAGGAATGCGCCAGTGTTGGGGCGGTGCTATCGTCTGGATGAGAACAATCTGCCGCCCGTCTACGTGCTGCAGCACAAGAACATACTGGTGCCAGAGTTTTGTGACGTAAGTAAACGGAAGTGTTCTCGTGTTCTGGTATCCCTGTGCGTGACTGGAAGCCTTACCCCTGTATGTGACATTTCGGCTATTCTCCGAATAACGGACGGTAAAGATGGCGGCCGCAAAATATCCTTTCGAGCCACAGTCACGTGACAATTACGCACATCCGGCGACCTAATTTGCGGTTCCCCGCCGGTTTTCCGGCGACTACCGCCACCGCCCCGAGTCCCACACGCCGCTAACGCGGCGTGGATTGGGGCTAAACTAGATGGCTAGGACACACGTGTAGCAGCTTCCGCATCTCCTGAAACTGTGCTCGTGGGTCCCAGCCATCTAATTTAGCCCCATTCCACGCCGCGTGAGCGGCGTGGAAGACTCGAGGCGGTGGCGGTAGTCGCCGAACCGCAAATTAAGTCACGTGACTGTGGCTCGAAAGGATATTTTGCGGCCGCCATCTTTACCGCCCGTTATTCGGAGGATAGCCGACATTTCTTATGTGTTGACACTGTCACGTGACATATGCCCTATGTGTCTATCGTTATACAGATCACCCACAGTGGCGCAGTGTTTAGCCGTTAACAGGTGATTACACTCAGGTCCGCCTGTATATAGGTCCTTCTGAATAATTCACGGTACATTTTGGAGGAGTCCCCTCGAAAATAGGTTACTGGAAGCGTTTCCATGTTGCATTGTGTGACATTTAATATGCTAACAAAGTCCTGTGTTCTGAACGTATTCGTATTACAAATCGACAAGCGGATATTGTAAAGTGGATATACACAATTTTTAAACTTTGCAGCTAGATAACTGCAATTTCAATTTTAAAGCACGGAAGACAGTCGTGTTGTGATGTGTGTTATTGTTTCTAGTCAGTAGCTTGGATTTTTGGGAACTGGCGGTTTATTCTTTTTCTAATTTGAATGTAGAAATCTTAATTTTGGGGAAAATACAGTTAATTTAGAAGCCATATCTAGAGAATATCGACAGTTGTCAGGTGCAAACTAACTTGTGTTGGAAGAAAACTATTGCTTTCATATTGACTGTGCATAAATGGTGCAACCACACTATGGATAAATTGTGTCAAGATATTTCGGAGCTCTGGGTAAGTGCATAAAAACAATATTTAATTGACTAACTAACCTCTCACAGCAAGTCACTCTTTGCCTATTTACTAATTGTTGACTAACAGTATAATTATATGTTGTAGAAGTCTGTGTTAATTTTTGTAAATTATCCTCGAGCAGTGGCTGTAAACTCTGGCAGAAACTTCTGGTTGTTCATCTAATTCTTATGCATATTTGCAGTTGTACGGTCTGTGTTAATTTTTGTAAATTGTCCTTTGCTTTGCGAACAGTGGCTGTAAACTCTGGCAGAAACTTCTGGTTGTTCATCTAATTCTTATGGATATTTGCAGTTGTACGGTGTGTGTTAATTTTTGTAAATTGTCCTCTGCTTCGCGAACTGTGGCTGTAAACTCTGGCAGAAACTTCTGGTTGTTCATCTAATTCTGGGCTTTAATCTTGTTCAAGACTGTTTTGAACAGCGAGTTCCCGTATCTATATGGGGAATTTTTGTGTTTGATATGTGTATGCTGTACAGCATTTGCAGTTATATGGTCTTTTTATTTGCTTTAATTACCTTTAAAATAATATACTGTTCATGATACTTATACGCGTTGTTGCATGCAGTATTCCGAAATATGTTTAATGTATTTTTAAACAGTTACCAAAAAATTCGCATTGATAAGGAATTGATTTCATCCAATAAGATAAAACTGGACAAATTTGTTTGTGCTGTTTGTACCATGAGGATAAATATTTAGTAGTGCTATAAGTACTGTTAAGAAAACTGTTCTGTGTGAAAAGTTATTGCACATATCAATTTCATATTTACTGTGCTTGTTTACTAATTATTAAATAACAGAATAATTATATGTTGTAGTAGTCTACTAATAGTAATAATAACCATGAATTATTTATATTTATGTTATGTGTGACATGTGTATCTTTCACAGCAGTATTTTTATGCGCTAAATTTGATAATGTAAAAATGTCACCCCTCTACCCCCCCCCCCCCGGCCTCCTCTGATGCAACAATACCCTCTCAGAATCAAAGAGTTAGCACTGATATTTCTTTACTTTTGCTGAATAATTTTCAGTTTATATCCATTTATTAACTGTGGACGCAGAGGGACTCCATTCTTGCACAAGAACGAGAATCCCCGTTGACCTGTTTGGCCTATAAATAGAGAAGGCCGTGGTTACACTCAGCCAGATGCAACGCCCATTCAGGGTACGCTCATTGCTTCCCCACACTTGCCCTGGAGTGGTTCCACTCAGGAAGCAAGGGCTTTAACCAATCTAAAACAACTGATTGGTCCATGTTTTCTATCTAACCAGAATAAGGAAGAGGTTCGGATCTCGGCCCAGAAGACATGGGTGGCATTACAAGCTGAACTGAGACGTCTGCTGCAGCGAGGGGCAGAGCTGGCCTTTTTAGATGGCACTATGGACCAGGAGTCGCGAGATCGATTCTTTCTTTCTGGTAGGATCGGCATATAGTGTCAAGTGTTGTCTCCACACATTTCTGTATTATGTGTACATAATTCTACACAATGTACACATATTTGTACACACTACTTTATACTTTACACATATTTGTACACTTTTCCATGTAACATTCACATATGTCCATACATAGCATACATATTGCCCTACTATATGCACTAACTGGACACAAGTCAACTTGGTGTTCATAGTTCTGCAATATCGATGAAAGACGGGATGTCCACGTTATTACACAGAGTTTTATCTCTTCTGTCTCAGTCTCCTTTCACAACTACCACCACAAATACTCTACCACTACTTCTGCTATTCTACTATAACATCTCAGTAAAACATGTGATCTGTTTGATGGCCACCGTAACATATAAATACTAGTCATGAGAATTGTAATGAGTTGGAAAGTTCTTTACAGAAAGAGGACAATAATCTTATTAAATGGAGCAATAGCAATCGCATTCAAGTTAACATAGTTAGATAGTTAGTCTTTCCTCTTGTGTCGAGTGCGGCACATAGGGCAGAGGTCATGACTCTCCATGCATGGCGGTTCGTTGCAATCTGTTGTAGGTCTTGGATGTTTGAGTGGCCCATGAGTGAGCCTTCCCTGATGATAGTTCTACGTAGGGTTTCCCTTGGTCTTCCATGAGATCTTTTCCCCTGTGGTGTCTAAATGAGGGCTTGGTAAGGAAGTCTTGATTTATCCATTCTAAGGGCGTGGCCGACATAGTTCCAGCGGCGTTTTCGTATAAAATTAGACACATACTCTTGCCTGGATTCTTGCCTTATTTGTGTATTGGTTCGGAAATCTGACCATTTGAAATTTAATATTCTTCTAAGGCATTTATTTTCAAAACTGTCTAATTTTGTGTCTAGAGTTTTCGTTGATTTCCAGCTCTCGCATCCATAGGTTGGTACTGGAATCACACAAGAATTGAAGATCTTGAGTTTTGTGTGTTTGCTAAGTGTCTTTGATTTCCAGATGTTGGACAGTTTATTGAAGGCACTAGATGCCAGTGCTATTCTAAATGGTATTTCTGGTGCGGTATCTCCTGTAGATAACGTAAATAAAAATAAATCTATGCTTATAACAACCAGACAAAAGTCACACACATTAGCATTATGCAAGCCATCACTTGGGTTTTACATAGATTAGTTACCTATTGGTAATCTAACCGAACACAAAACATTGGACCTTACAATTGACAATCATTTGACTTGAAATTCTCAATTTTGTTTCAAAACTAAGAAAATTGGACAAAAAGTTTACCAGCTTGCCAAAATCCCGTACTTTCTGGATGAAGATACACGAAACACGACAAATATTTTTCGCACCCTACATGCAAACATATGTTGACTTTTGTTTCACAGTTAGGGATGGTGACGACAAATCTAATGTTAAAAGACTAAGTTGCCTTCAAAATCGCGATTTTAAAATAGAAAAAAAAGCACCACAAATAATATCTGTAGCCATCTAAGACTTCTGACATTTAGTAAACGTTTAATTTTTAACAAGGCTGAATTTATTTAAAAAAATAAATTGTATCTCAAAATACTCTAAACCTAGAAAATATTTATCTAAAACAAGTTTAGCAAATTCTGCTGCTCATTTATGGAACCAACTTTCATTTGATCTGAAAAAATACAGTTCTTATTCATTTAACCGCAAACCTTTTCAGTTCATACTTACAAGTGATTATATGAAACCTTAAATGTGATTATTAATCTAAACTGCATTATCAATTTATAATTAAATAAAGTGTGTATAATATGTATGTGTGACATGTACATGTGAGGTATGTGTGTGTAGGTGTGTTAGTTTTGTATAAGTGTGTATATCAGTAACTGTATAAGTGTTGTTGTGTGTGCATGTGTGTGTCTTCATCTGTGTGTGTTTGTGCACGTATGTGTCTGTGTGTATGTGTCTGTGTTTGTGTGTGAGTTTGTGTGTAGGCGTGTGTACGTGCGTGTGTATGTGTATGTGGGGGCGGGGGGTGTATGTCAGTGTGTGTATTTGAGTGCATATGTGTGTGTGTGTGTATATATGGGTAGGTGTCTGCCTTTGCTTCTGTTGGTGTGTCTGTGTATGCATCTGTGTGTATGTGTGTTTATATGTGTGTAGAATGTGTATGTATGTATGTGGGGGTGTGTATGTATGTGGGTGTGTATTTAAGCGTGTTGGAGTTAGTGGGTGGACGCGTGTACGTGCGCGAATGTGTGTATTCACTTTGCCACCCATGCTTTTGTGTTTTTCTCTTGATATTTACAATATGCATATTAGCATATGAATATAACTTGCTTTATTGATAAAGTACAACTGCCGTGTCAAAGAGTGTTTGGAAGGACCGAATGAGAGATGGGCCTACGTGCACAACTTGTCACCCTTTGGAAATTTAGTTTCTTTGTTCGTTCGTACCATAACTACTACCACCACAATTAATATCACCACCACCATCACTACTACCACCACCACCACAATAAATATCACCACCACCACCACCACTATCAATATCACCACCACCATCACTACTACCACCACCACCACCACAATCAATATCACCACCACCACCACTATCAATATCACCACCACCATCACTACTACCACCACCACCACAATCAATATCACCACAACACCACCACCACCACTATCAATATCACCACCACCATCACTACTACCACCACCAACACAATCAATATCACCACCACCGCTACCACCACCACTATCAATATCATCACCACCATCACTACTACCACCACCACCACAATCAATATCACCACCACCATCACTACTAACACCACCACCACAATCAATATCACCACCACCACCACCACAATCAATATCACCACCACCATCATCACTACTACCACCACCACAATCAATATCACCACCACCACCATCACTACTACCACCACCACAATCAATATCACCACCACCACCACCACTATCAATATAACCACCACCACCACTATCAATATTACCACCACCACCACCACAATCAATATCACTACCACCACCACCACCACCACTATCAATATCACTACCACCATCACTACTACCACCACCACCACAATCAATATCACCACCACCACTATCATTATCACCACCACCATCACTACTACCACCACCACCACAATCAATATCACCACCACCACCACAATCAATATCACCACCACTACCATCACTACTACCACCACCACCACCACTATCAATATCACCACAACACCACCACCACCACTATCAATATCACCACCACCATCACTACTAACACCACCACCACAATCAATATCACCACCACCACCACAATCAATATCACCACCACCATCATCACTACTACCACCACCACAATCAATATCACCACCACTACCATCACTACTACCACCACAATCAATATCACCACCACCACCACCACCACTATCAATATCACCACCACTACCACCACCACCACTATCAATATCACAACCACCACCACCACCACAATCAATATCACTACCACCACCACCACCACCACCACTATCAATATCACCACCACCATCACTACTACCACCACCACCACAATCAATATCACCACCACCACTATCAATATCACCACCACCATCACTACTACCACCACCACCACAATCAATATCACCACCACCACCACAATCAATATCACCACCACCATCACTACTACCACCACCACCACAATCAATATCACCACCACCACCACAATCAATATCACCACCACCACCATCACTACTACCACCACCACCACTATCAATATCACCACCACTACCACCACCACTATCAATATCACCACCACCACCACCACTATCAATATCACCACCACCATCACTACCACCGCCACCACTACCACAATCAATATCACCACCACCATCACTACCACCACCATCACTACCACAATAAATACCACCACCACCATCACTACCACCACCACTATCACTACCACCACCACTATCACTACCACCACTGCTACTACTTTTGATGCTGCTACTGCTGTTACAACCACTAATACTTCTGCATCGGTACTACTGATTTACTACTCACCTATCTACCTGCCTACCTGTCTATTTGCTTGTCTGTTAGCCACCCTGCGTCTCTGCTTGTCTAAATATCTTCCTATATCTGTGCCATCTTGACCTATCCATCACAGTACACTTGACTATCTCCAGGACCTTGTCCGTCCACATGTAGTCCACACATGTGTACATTGTGCATCCTCGTGTCTGAAATAGTTGTCCACATGTAATCCACACATGTGTACATTGTGCATCCTCGTGTCTTAAATAGTTGTCCACATGTAGTCCACACATGTGTACATTGTGCAGTTCTCGTGTCTCAAATAGTTGTCCACATGTAGTCCACACATGTGTACATTGTGCATCCTCGTGTCTTAAATAGTTGTCCACATGTAATCCACACATGTATACACTGTGCAGACCTCGTATCTTAAATAGATGTCCACATGTATTCCACACATGTGTACATTGTGCTGTCCTCGCGTCTTATATAGATGTCCACATGTATTCCACACATGTGTACATTGTGGTGTCCTCGCGTCTTATATAGATGTCCACATGTATTCCACACTTGTGTACACTGTGCTGTCCTCGTGTCTTAAATAGTTGTCCACATGTAATCCACACATGTGTACATTGTGATGTCCTCGTGTCTTAAATAGATGTTCACATGTAATCCACACATGTGTACATTGTGCAGTCCTTGTGACTTAAATAGATGTTCACATGTAATCCACACACGTGTACACTGTGCTGTCCTTGTGTTTTAAATACATGTTCACATGTAATCCACACATGTGTACACTGTGCTGTCCTCGTGTCTTAAATAGATGTCCACATGTAATCCACACATGTGTACATTGTGCTGTCCTCGCGTCTTATATAGATGTCCACATGTATTCCACACATGTGTACATTGTGCTGTCCTCGCTTCTTATATAGATGTCCACATGTATTCCACACTTCTGTACACTGTGCTGTCCTCGTGTCTTAAATAGTTGTCCACATGTAATCCACACATGTGTACATTGTGCTGTCCTCGTGTCTTAAATAGATGTTCACATGTAATCCACACATGTGTACATTGTGCAGTCCTTGTGTCTTAAATAGATGTCCACATGTAATCCACACATGTGTACACTGTGCTGTCCTCGTGTCTTAAATAAATGTTCACATGTAATCCACACATGTGTACATTGTGCAGTTCTCGTGTCTTAAATAGATGTCCACATGTAATCCACACATGTGTACATTGTGCTGTCCTCGTGTCTTAAATAGATGTACACATGTAATGCACACATGTGTACATTGTGCTGTCCTCGTGTCTTAAATAGATGTACACATGTAATCCACACATGTTTACACTGTGCAGTCCTCGTGCCTTAAATAGATGTCCACATGTAATCCACACATGTGTACACTGTGCTGTCCTCGTGTCTCAAAAAGACGAGACAGTCATCTCAAATAGACGAGACCGTCCTTTCACATAAAATGTATCTCATCTGAGTTAGAGAGTGGACAGCTCAATGACTAAACTAGACTATTGGCTGGACAGCTTGACTGACGTGACCTGAATTCACTGAGACATTCCTGGATTTTCTTTCAGACCTAGAACATGAAATCATGCAGGGGGTGGAGTTGGATCAAGACCCCGGCAGACATTGGGTGCTGATCACAAGAGACATCCAGGACCTGAAGAACTACACCCAGGACACCAGGACGTTCAGGTTTACCGAGCTCCGCTTCGACGCCAAGAACGACAGGTATCAACTGGACTCCGACTGCGCTAACTTGCTGGTCAAACTGAAGAATCGACTCCAGGGGTTGGTGCCCGAAGCCAGTACGATCCACCATGAGGTTCTGTGGAGGTATGAGAATGTCATCGATGCCTTCCACCATCAGGAGTATCTAGAAGCCTTGTGTGGTCAGCTCTACTCCACCTGTTGGAGACTCATCGATGATGGATTGGAAGTACCGGACAATGGTCAGTACACAGTAATCATTGGGACATAGTTTCTTGTGTTTCTCTCGTGTGCGTGTGTGTGTGTGTGTGTGCGTATGTGTGTGCGTGCGTGTGTTTGCGTGTGTGTGTGTGTGTGCAGTTTACCCCCTCCAAGTAGTTGAAGGCTTGACACCCTGAGATGAGAAGATCTCAATCTGGATGGCAGACCAGCAGGAGTAGAAAGTTTGACATCATGAGACTAAAAACATCTCAATGCTGGTAGCACACCCTCAAGGGCTGAAGGTTTGACACCCTGAGATGAGAAGATCTCAGTCCGGATGTTAGAACAACAGGAGCTAAAGATTTGACACTCAGAGATCAGATGTAAAAGTCAATTAATTATGGGTTACCTTCGAAGTCTGAGTGCATCTGCCTGAGAGGCAAGGAATCATAAACAAAAGCCAGATCTGTAGAACGGATGTACCCGCAAATCCTGGGACAAGACTAAAGTCTGGAGACTGGAGTCCAGAGTTGGACGAACAAGCAGCGAACTTTTGGCCGGAGTGTACAGATATGCCAGCGTGTGGGGATTATTGCCTGTGTACACCAGTTCTGGTCGGCTCTGTGGCTAAGTCGATGCGAACGCTTCGTAATGCCAGGATGTCGAGTTCGATCCCACTTGCGGGCCATGCGCCTTGCGTTGGTTTCGACAGTGGTATCAAGAAAGCCGACCGTCCAGAAAGCAATGGCAAATTACTGAACGTAAATTTGCCTAGAATTTGGGTCTGCAACGTCCGGTAAAGGATACGCAACTAACCTAACACCAGTTCTGAGATCAGATCTAGAATGTTCTGGTGTTAAAGAAATCACAGGTACAGTTGATAGACAGGTGTCACAGAGCCCAGCAGTGTGTATCCGGACATCATCTCTAGCATCTCTAACTACGTAAAACATTCATTGCAGAGGTTCCCAGAGCCTGGCAGGAGGTGTCCCAACACTGGAGTCATTGCCGTTATCTAGCCTCCAACTTCTGCAACCAGGAGACGCTCCTGACCAAACTGAAGGAGTACGTCACTGGGGCGTTAGCCACGCCTCTCGTCGTGTATGGGGCCTCGGGGACGGGGAAGTCGAAGGTCGTCTCCAAGCTGGCTGCTGAGGTAAGTCTGATTGTGTGGGGGCTGCTGAGGTAAATCTAATTGTGTGGGGGCTGCTGAGATAAGTCTGATTGTTTGGGGGCTGCTGAGGTAAGTCTGATTGTGTGGTGGCTACTGAGGTAAGTCTGATTGTGTGGGGGCTACTGAGGTAAGTCTGATTGTGTCGGGGCTACTGAGGTAAGTCTAATTGTGTGGGGGCTACTGAGGTAAGTCTGATTGTGTGAGGCTGCTGAGGTAGGTCTGATTGTGGGGGCTGCTAAGGTAAGTCTGTGTGTGGAGGCTGCTGAGGTAAGTCTCATTGTGTGGAGGCTGCTGAGGTAAGTCTGATTGTGTGGGGGCTGCTGAGGTAAGTCTGATTGTGTGAGGCTGCTGAGGTAAGTCTGATTGTGTGAGGCTGCTGAGGTAAGTCTGATTGTGGAGGCTGCTGAGGTAAGTCTGATTGTGTGGAGGCTGCTGAGGTAAGTCTGATTGTGTGGGGGCTGCTGAGGTAAGTCTGATTGTGTGCAGCTGCTGAGGTAAGTCTGATTGTGTGGAGGCTGCTGAGGTAAGTCTGATTGTGTGGGGGCTGCTGATGTAAGTATGATTGTGTGAGGCTGCTGAGGTAAGTCTGATTGTGGAGGCTGCTGAGGTAAGTCTGATTATGTGGAGGCTGCTGAGGTAAGTCTGATTGTGTGGAGGCTGCTGAGGTAAGTCTGATTGTGTGGGGGCTGCTGATGTAAGTATGATTGTGTGAGGCTGCTGAGGTAAGTCTGATTGTGGAGGCTGCTGAGGTAAGTCTGATTGTTTGGAGGCTGCTGAGGTAAGTCTGATTGTGTGGGGGCTGCTGAGGTAAGTCTGATTGTGTGAAGCTGCTGAGGTAAGTCTGATTGTGTGGAGGCTGCTAAGGTAAGTCTGATTGTGTGGGGGCTGCTGATGTAAGTATGATTGTGTGAGGCTGCTGAGGTAAGTCTGATTGTGTGAGGCTGCTGAGGTAAGTCTGATTGTGGAGGCTGCTGAGGTAAGTCTGATTGTGTGGAGGCTGCTGAGGTAAGTCTGATTGTGTGAGGGCTGCTGAGGTAAGTCTGATTGTGTGGAGGCTGCTGAGGTAAGTCTGATTGTGTGGAGGCTGCTGAGGTAAGTCTGATTGTGTGAGGCTGCTGAGGTAAGTCTCATTGTGTGGAGGCTGCTGAGGTAAGTCTGATTGTGGGGGCTGCTGAGGTAAGTCTGATTGTGTGGAGGCTGCTGAGGTAAGTCTGATTGTGTTAGGGCTGCTGAGGTAAGTCTTATTGTGTGAAGGCTGCTGAGGTAAGTCTGATTGTGTGGAGGCTGCTGATGTAAGTCTGATTGTGTGGAGGCTGCTGAGGTAAGTCTGATTGTGGGGGCTGCTGAGGTAAGTCTGATTGTGTGAGGCTGCTGAGGTAAGTCTGATTGTGTGGAGGCTGCTGAGGTAAGTCTGATTGTGTGAGGGCTGCTGAGGTAAGTCTTATTGTGTGGAGGCTGCTGAGGTCAGTCTGATTGTGTGGAGGCTGCTGAGGTAAGTATGATTGTGTGGAGGCTGCTGAGGTAAGTCTGATTGTGTGAGGCTGCTGAGGTAAGTCTGTGTGTAAGGCTGCTGAGGTAAGTCTGATTGTGTGAGGCTGCTGGAGTAAGTCTGATTGTGTGGAGGGCTGCTGAGGTAAGTCTGATTGTGTGTGAGGCTGCTGAGGTAAGTCTGATTGTATGAGGCTGCTGAGGTAAGTCTGATTGTATGAGGCTGCTGAGGTAAGTCTGATTGTATGAGGCTGCTGAGAGAAGTCTCATTGTATGATGCTGCTGAGGGAAGTCTGATTGTATGAGGCTGCTGAGAGAAGTCTGATTGTGTGGGCTGCTGAGATAAGTCTGATTGTGTGGGGCTGCTGAGATAGGTCTGATTGTGTGTGAGGCTGCTGAGGTAAATCTGATTGTGGGGGCTGCTGAGGTAAGTCTGATTGTGTGAGGCTGCTGTGGTAGGTCTGATTGTGTGGAGGCTGCTGAGGTAAGGCTGATTGTGTGGATGCTGCTGAGGTAAGTCTGATTGTGTGGGCTGCTGAGATAAGTCTGATTGTGTGTGGGGCTGCTGAGATAAGTCTGATTGTGTGTGAGGCTGCTGAGATAAGTCTGATTGTGTGGGCTGCTGAGATAAGTCTGATTGTGTGTGGGGCTGCTGAGATAAGTTTGATTGTGTGTGAGGCTGCTGAGATAAATCTGATTGTGGGGGCTGCTGAGGTAAGTCTGATTGTGTGAGGCTGCTGAGGTAAGTCTGATTGTGTGGAGGCTGCTGAGGTAGGTCTGATTGTGTGGGGGCTGCTGAGGTAAGTCTGATTGTGTGAGGCTGCTGAGAAAATTTTGATTGTGTGGGGCTACTGAGGTAAGTCTGATTGTATGAGGCTGCTGAGGTAAGTCTGATTGTATGAGGCTGCTGAGGTAAGTCTGATTGTGTGGGGCTACTGAGGTAAGTCTGATTGTATGGGGCTACTGAGGTAAGTCTGATTGTATGAGGCTGCTGATGTAAGTCTGATTGTATGGGGCTGCTGAGGTAAGTCTGATTGTATGGGGCTGCTGAGGTAAGTCTGATTGTGTGGAGGCTGCTGAGGTAAGTCTGATTATGTGGGGCTGCTGAGGTAAGTCTGATTGTGTGGGGGCTGCTGAGGTAAGTCTGATTGTGTGAGGCTGCTGAAGTAAGACTGATTGTGTGGAGGCTGCTGAGGCAAGTCTGGTTGTGTGTAGGCTGCTGAGGTAAGTCTGATTGTGTGGAGGCTGCTGAGGTAAGTCTAATTGTGTGGAGGCTGCTGAGGTAAGTCTGATTGTGTGGAGGCTGCTGAGGTAAGTCTGATTGTTTGGAGGCTGCTAAGGTAATTCTGATCGTGGGGGCTGCTGAGGTAAGTCTGACTGTGTGGGGGGCTGCTGAGGTAAGTCTGATTGTGTGGGGGGCTGCTGAGATAAGTCTGATTGTGTGAGGCTGCTGAGATAAGTCTGATTATGTGAGGCTGCTCAGGTAAGTCTGATTGTGGGGGGGGGGGGCTGCTGAGGTAAGTCTGATTGTGTGGCGGCTGCTGAGGTGAGTCTGATTGTGTGGGGGCTGCTAAGGTAAGTCTGATTGTGGGGGCTGCTGAGAGAAGTCTGATTGTGTGGGGCTACTGAAGTAAGTCTGATTGTGGGGGCTGCTGAGGTAAGTCTGATTGTGGGGGCTGCTGAGAGAAGTCTGATTGTGAGGGCTGCTGAGGTAAGTCTGATTGTGGGGGCTGCTGAGGTAAGTCTGATTGTGGGGGCTGCTGAGAGAAGTCTGATTGTGGGGGCTGCTGAGGTAAGTCTGATTGTGTGAGGCTGCTGAGAAAATTTTGATTGTGTGGGGCTACTGAGGTAAGTCTGATTGTGGGGGCTGCTGAGGTAAGTCTGATTGTATGAGGCTGCTGAGGTCAGTCTGATTGTATGAGGCTGCTGAGGTAAGTCTGATTGTATGGGGCTACTGAGGTAAGTCTGATTGTATGGGGCTACTGAGGTAAGTCTGATTGTATGAGGCTGCTGAGGTAGGTCTGATTTTATGAGGCTGCTGAGGTAAGTCTGATTATGTGGGACTGCTGAGGTAAGTCTGATTGTGTGGGGGCTACTGGGGTAAGTCTGATTGTGTGGGGCTGCTGAGATAAGTCTGATTGTGTGGGGCTACTGAGGTCTCAACTGCTGAGGTAAAGCTGCTGCGTCTCAGCAGATTTTGCAGATCCCTAAATTTCTGCAATCTCCATATGTCCCACATTGAAGTCTCGACTTGATAGACAGATAATAACCTAATGTTTAGTTGTTTCCGTAGAGCTAACTGCCCTTTCTCATTATCTCGCATGTTTCTGTAGACTTAAACTCTCCCTTTCTCCTGCCCTCGCCTCTTTCTGTAGACTTTAAACTCCCTTTCGTCTTCCCTTACCCATTTCTGTAGACTTAAAACTCCCTTTCGTCTTCCCTTACCCATTTCTGTAGACTTTAAACTCCCTTTCGTCTTCCCTTACCTGTTTCTGTAGACCTAAAACTACCTTTCTCCTCCCCTCGCCTCTTTCTGTAGACTTTAAACTCCCTTTCTATTTTCAGCAGTGTCTCTAATAGAAATAGAACAGCCTCAAGACGTGAGATGCTGCCCTTGATTAAAGCACACAAGCTACAACTCTACACCAGAGTTGAGTGTCTGCACCTATGGGGGAGGGGTGCAGCGGCTGTTCCTGTGGATGTTAGAAGGAAAGGGAAATATGAGGAGGTGGATTTAATACAGATTACACAACCGACTGTGTCTCTGCGTGGTTGAAAAAATATACGACTAAATCCCCTATGTCACACAAACCTTGTAGCATTGGGGTCGTTAGTTCAAGGTTATCATCGGTCCAGCGTCCTTGACATTGGCATTAGGTTCCTCCTGTGTCATCTCCAGATGGAAGACTCGCTGGCCGGAGACTACGTCCTGCTGTTGAGATACATCTCCCCCACCTTCAGCAGCACAGATATCCGGCACCTCCTGATGGGTCTGTGTGCCCAGCTGGCCACGGTCATGGGGATCCATCCAAGCAGCCGACCCTCAGAGATGAGAGACCTGGTCAACTACTTCACACATCTGCTGACCCTAACACCTGCCGACTGCCGGTTAGTATTCAACACTGCCATGTTTGAAGAAAGACACCAGAAATATCTGATGGCACTATGTGCTGTCTGGCATCTTTCGTCCTGTGTCGTCACATACAGTACAGGGTGTGTTTGTGTGTCAGTGACATGTTTTGTCTGGCATCTTTTAATCGTGTTTCGTCACATACGATACAGGCTGCGTTTGTATGCCACTGACATTTGTTTAGTTTGTTTCCTCATGTTTATGTATGCCGTATGCGCCTGCTGAGAAACAGCCAAGCATGCGGCAGGCAATAATTGTGCAGTCTGTTGTCTTTTGTGTTCAAGATGACCAAGAGCAAACGTTGCCTTGACTGAGATTGTTCTCGGAAACTGATGTATATCCTTCCCGAATTATCCAACAGTGAAATGTTCAATGCCTTGCACGTTTAATACGTTCACCTGTGAGTGCCAAGCTCCTGGGTTCAGCTCCTGATTAGGCCAGACTTTTTTTGTGTGTGTTTCAAGATGATCTTGGCGTCCAGGTCGACCAAGCCTTCAATGAGTATCAGGTCAGATTCTGGGAAGTAAAGGCGCCCGGCGGCATGTTGACCATATCACCCACTGAGTGCCAGTGTATCTATAAAATATAGTCTAGCCCTATATGCCCACACGCCTAAAGGCGGGGAAAAGGGTCTTGACTTCACTTACTTGCACATGTCACGACGATTATTCGGCTGCTCATCTTCAAAGACCTTGCTGTCAACGAGTCCCGGTTTTGCTCACTTTAGAAACAAGTGTTGACAGAGATCAACAGTTTGATTTAGAAACATGTGTTGACAGCGAATAACTGTTTGGTTTAGAAACAAGTGTCGACAGAGGTCAACTGTTTGATTTAGAAACAAATGTTGACAGAGATCAATTGTTTGATTTAGAAACAAGTGTCGACAGAGAATAACTGTTTGGTTTAGAAACATGTGTTGTCAGAGAATAACTGTTTGGTTTAGAAACAAGTGTCGACAGAGGTCAACTGTTTGATTTAGAAACAAATGTTGACAGAGATCAATTGTTTGATTTAGAAACAAGTGTCGACAGAGAATAACTGTTTGGTTTAGAAACAAGTGTCGACAGAAAATAACTGTTTGGTTTAGAAACAAGTGCCGACAGAGGTCAACTGTTTGATTTAGAAACAAGTGTCGATTTAGAAACAAGTGTCGACAGAGATCAACCGTGTGATTTAGAAACAAGTGTTGACAAAGTTCAACCGTTTGATTTAGAAACAAGTGTCGACAAAGTTCAACTGTTTGATTTAGTTTCTGTGAAGCGAGTGATGTCTAAGTATCTTGTTTCAATATTATTTTTTAACCATGTAACACACACGGTATAGTTTAATTTTGAACCAGAAATGTCAGAGAAAATCCTAATCTCTAAAATCCTAATCTCTTAAATCCTAATATCTAAAATCCTAATCTCTAAAATCCTAATCTCTAAAATCCTAATCTCTAAAATCCTAATCTCTAATAAACATCCCAAAAAAATTTTTCCAGTCAGCAACACATATCCTGAAATGTTCGTGTTAAAAAAAAACATTTGTCGCTTTTTCTAAAAGGGGAAAACTACTGTCCACATATTTATATTCAATAATCATGTCTCCATTTTCCTATCCAGTAATGACAATCCTCATGTTTTTTTTTTAATCCAGTAAAAAAAAAAAAAAATCATGTTTTCTTATTCAGTAACGATTGTCGATATTTTTCTTGTTCAGAAAGAAATGTCCATATGTTGTCTTCTTCCGTAACAAATGTTCATATGTTTTCTTGTTTATTACCAAATATTCATATGTTTACTTTTTCAGTAACAACTGTCCATATTTTTCTTGTTTAGTAACAAATGTCTATATGTTTTCTTGCTCAGTAGCAAACATTCACATGTTTCTTGTTCAGTAACAAGAAAAGATACAAAACCTAAAGAAAAGTATATTAGCAAGCTTCACAATTTAACAAATACAAACAAAACGTAAACGTTGCGGCTATGGAGCCTTCATCAGCACATAGAAATCAAACAATTGTACACAAATACACAAAATCACTTAGCTGGTATCTCGAAGCAGCCGGGTCGGTTGTTTCTCAGCAGACTGCCTACAAGCGTGGGCTGGGGGAAATACATGCCCCCTGTGGAGTACCAGGGGCCATAACTGGGGGTTAGAGATAAAACTGTGAGGGCAGTTCTATCCCCTAGAAATGTAAACGAAACTGTGTTGGCAATTCAGTCCGGTGGGTTTAAAAAAAGCGATTCTCAAGAGATTTGCGGACTCTGTCGCTGGAATGGCTAGATTTAATGGCTGTCACCTCCATGTCGAGGACACCTTGGTGATCCTGGGAATTGAAGTGCAAGGGTACTGGTTTCAGGGCACCATTTTGCACATCCAAAAGATGTTGTCTGAACCTGTCGGCCAGCGTAGACCCGTTTCCCCAATGTATTTCATGCCACATCTCTTGCAGTTGATGGCATAAATGACATTGCAGCTGGTACAAAAGAACGCTTCACGTATGTGGATGGTGGCGTTGGGGAATTCTAGACTAGTCCCCTGTACCACATATGGACAGGTCCTGCATACAGGTCTGTGGCAAGAGACCGTGCCGAAGTGGGGCTCAGACGCGGGGCGTAACCTACTCCTAACTACAATGTCATTGAGGTTACAATCATACCTGTAGGCCACTATAGAAAATCGTGCTGGTGGCAGGGTCGGCTCTAAGGATGGAGAGATGCCTGATGAAAATATTGTTGGCGCGGATGTTGTGAGGGTGGTAGGTAAGAGTGAGAATAGGTCTGTTGTCGTGACGTTTTGGCTCGGAAGCGAGCGCCTCGGCACGATGGACAGACCGTGCGCGGAAAAATGCGGCAGATAGGACATATTCAGGATACTCTCGAAGCAGGAAGAAGTCCAGCATTGTTCCAGCATTGTTCCAGCATTGTTCCAGCATTGTTCCAGCATTGTTCCAGCATTGTTCCAGCATTGTTCCAGCATTGTTCCAGCATTGTTCCAGCATTGTTCCAGCATTGTTCAGTAACAGATACCCATGTTTTCTAGTTCAGTAAAATACATCCACATGTTTTCTAGTTCAGTAAAAAAACATCCACATGTTTTCTAGTTCAGTAAAAAATGTCAAAATGTTTTTTTTTTTGTTCAGTAACAAACATCCACATGTTTTCTTGTTCAGTAACAAACATCCACATGTTTTCTTGTTCAGTAACAAACATCCACATGTTTTCTTGTTCAGTAACAAACATCCACATGTTTTCTTGTTCAGTAACAAACATCCACATGTTTTCTTGTTCAGTAACAAACATCCACATGTTTTCTTGTTCAGTAACAAACATCCACATGTTTTCTTGTTCAGTAAAGAAGGTCCATTTGTTTTCTTCTTCAGTAAAAAAAGGTCCACATGTTTTCTTGTTCAGTAACAAATGTCCCTGTTCTATGCGGTAACAAGTGCTATTATATTGCCATGAACTGAAATATCCACCTTGCCTCCCCCAGCCTGGTGATCATACTGGACGGCCTTGAGCAGCTGCTCCCTGACCATGGAGCCTTGACCCTGACCTGGATACCACTTGAACTGCCTGCAAACGTCAAACTAATCCTGACAGTTCAGCAGCCGGCGCACGGCCTACTTGACCGTCTGAGGCTGGAACTGTTACCAGACAGACCCGAGAGCTTCCTGGAGATCAGTGCAATCGGGGTGGATGGATGCGACCAAATATTCAACGATATGTTGCTGGCAATGAACCGTTCTCTCACTCCCGAGCAGAAAAAAGTCTTCAGGGACTCAATTGAGAGACAGCCACATCCGCTGTATGTGGAACTCCTGGTCAACATTGGCAAAGAGATTCCCTCGTACATGGACGCCGAGAGCATCCAACTGCCCGGATCTTGCGAGGACGGTATTGAGCGGTTTCTGGACAGACTTGAAGGGAAACATGGGAGGCTGCTAGGGTCGCGAGCATGTGCCTACTTGGTTGCGTCATCAACTGGACTTAGTGATTGTGAGATGCAGGACATCTTGTCTTTGGATGAGGATGTTCTCAACGAGGTCTTTAGGGACTTCCACCCGCTAATCAGAAGACTTCCCTGCGTTAAGTGGCTGTCGCTTAAACAGGACATGGACCCGTTTCTGGTCCACAGGGATTCAGATGACGTCACAGTTGCTGCCTGGAAGCACGAGAGTTTCGACAGTGTTGTCACCAGGAGATATCTGTCTGACACTGACGTATCAAGGCTGGTTCACTGCAACATCGCCGATTACTTTCTTGGAACCTGGAGCGATCATCCAAAGCCAGCAATATTACTGCATTCCGACCAACAGTTGCCCCCTTGTGTAGAGACCAACAGAAAAGTGCCTCGGCAACCCCACACTTATGTGGATGATCAGAGTGGCGCAGTCAAGTTTAATAGACGGATGTACGAGCAGGTGCCCCGTCATCTTGGCCTGGCAGGCAGGTACCAAGAACTGGACCTTCTAGTATGTTTCAACTATGAGTGGCTGTACAACAAGATCCAGGCGCTCTCTCTGCAGAGTGTTCTGGCAGATCTGGCTCTGAGTCCCAGCGAGGAGGCCCGCCTCGTGGCTCAAGTGTTGCAGATTTCCGAGTCTGACATCGAGACAGACACTAACAATCTTCCAACGCTCATGACCGGGCACTTGTTGCCATACTTGGCTTCCCACCCGAACATCCGGCAACTGATTCAGCAGTGTGATACAAACGGTACCCAGCATTGTGCTCTAGTTCCCAATTTCCCATTCCCTGACGTAGCCGGTACTTGCCTACAGTTCGTCTTGAAGTGTCCTACTGTCATGCACCAGTTCCGCCTGCTAGACGACGACAGACAGCTGGTGTGCAAACAACGAGATGACCTCTACGTCCACAGGTTTGATCTGGACACAGGAGACCACAAGGCGGCAGTGTTGACATCGGCCGGAGAACTGTACAGCACACCTAATGGGAAATACTTCATCATTGTGGATCACATCACGGAAAAGTCCATCAAGATCCACCAAGCGGAGTCTGGAGAGTTTATCCAGCAGATTATCCTCATGAACCACATAGAAAGCAAGTCCGCGCTCTACAAGAAAGGGCCGCTGTGTCTCAGCGACGACCGTCTGTGTGCTGTGGTTACCATGACCCAAAGTGTGCTCTGTGTTTGCGAGATCCCTTCAGGTACAGATCGCTTTTACTTGACCTCACTGTGTGTGTGTGTGTGTGTGTGTGTGTGTGTGTGTTTGTGATACTTCACTCATACATCATCAGATGCGTGTGTGGGGGGATATGTGTGTTAGAGAGAGAGAGAGAGAGAGAGAGGGGGAGGGAGAGAGAGAGAGAGAGAGAGAGAGAGAGCGAGAGAGATAGTGAGCGAGAGAGAGAGAGAGAGAGAGAGAGAGAGAGAGAGAGAGATAGAGGGAGATGGGGTGCGTTCGCCATTTCACATTTGTTTCTGTGGGGGGCGAGGAGAGGAGAGAGAGAAGAGGAACGAAGAGAGGGTTGGGAGAGGCTCGGGAGGGAAGGAGGGGCAGTGACGAAGGGAGGGCGGAGGAGGGAGGGGAGGAGAGAAGAGGGAGAGGGGGAGCTGGGGAGAGGGACGGATGGCGAGAGAGAGCGGGAGGGGAGGGAGAGATCATCAGTGAGCGAGAGAGAGAGGAGAGAGACGAGAGGGAGATGGAGGAGGAGAGAGGAGAGAGAGTAGAGGAGGATGGGGTGCGTTCGCCATTTCTCATTTCATCTCATGGCGTCTTGACCCTGTGGTATCTTGACCCTGTGGTATCTTGACCCTGTGGTATCTTGATCCTGTGGTATCTTGACCCTGTGGTATCTTGACCCTGTGGTATCTTGACCCTGTGGTATCTTGACCCTGTGGTATCTTGACCCTGTGGTATCTTGACCCTGTGGTATCTTGCGGTGTCGATGTAAAGTGTGAAAATGCTGTTTGTGTGCTTCATAAATTGGTATTTCCTCTGTCCATCGCTTGCACGGTGGGCCTCTTCTTCGCTTCCCTTCTGGTCTGGACATCATTGCTTGCTGTGGTATACTGTCTGCTGACATCTGCGTTACATGGCCAAATCATTTCTTCAGGTGTCTTCTTATGAAATCCAGAGCTGCTGTTACCCTCATTGTCTTTGGATTTCATCGTTTCTGATCTCATTTCTTCCTTTTACTTTTCACTTCAACCAGAGCATCAGAACAGCTTCGGTATCACTGGATTGGGTACACAGCTACCTAGTCCCACTTCCAAAACCAAGCAAAGATCATAATAGACTCATCTGTTTAAGGATTATCACCCTACACAAAGTGACTGACTGGTGCGCTGAAGTGGGGGCTGTCATCAACTCAGAAAAGGCGGCTGTTCTGTGGGGCTCTCTGGACAATAGAATTGTAAGAGCTGATGTTCCCAGCCTCGCAATTAATGACAGAAACATCAAAGAGAAAGCAAACTAGAGTACCTGGGTATGATTTTCGTTAGAAGCCTGTAAAATAGGAATCATGTGGAGGCAGTTGCGGTGAAATGTCAAACAGGACTCCGATTCCGATTCCGAATGGAAAAAAAAAGCCTGACAAGGATTAACCTGCTGCTAACTAGCCGAAGCTGCAACAGACTCCGGTTATATTTGTGATCTAGTTTATTTGAGCCACTTTCGTAGCTACAGTTCTGATATTTGGCCCATCTCTCTGGCTTGGTCCTTCTTCCCTCCACGTCTGACAACTCGATCGGTTTCTGTCCTCCAGTGTGTTTCTCCTGCCCTTATATTTCTGAAGTTTTCCTCTTGGCTCAAACTCCTCCTAATTTGGCTAGGCGTATCTCATAGGAGAGAAATCTAGTTCCACACAACATTATTGGACCACCATTTCAAGTTTAGAAATTTTTAATATTGTTTTCCCCCAAGAAGTACTAAAAACATTTTTTGGGGGGTTTGGGTAAATCCCCCCCCTCTCCCCCCCCCCCCCCAAAAAAAAACCTAATGCTCTCAAGATTATGGCAAGAATGAACATTGAACCTAGGACTCTGTTCTCCGTGTTCCAGCATGTGATCCGGTCGATGATAGATTACTGACATGAAATCCCTGCTATATCAAACAGTCAACGGATTAAACTTGAACATATACACAATGAAGACATGCGGGTAATTCTGGGATGTACAAGATAGCCCGGTAGTATGTATGCGATATATACTTGCACTGTTTACTATTGCATATAGGCTCAAAGTTCTGGGAGCAAAGTCATATCTCAGAATAGCTGCAGACAAGAAGCACCTCTTGCGTGAAGCCTTGGGTCGTGTTTGGGTCACAGACTGAAAAGAGGAAGGTCTTTGATGGCGCAAGCTGAAGACGCAGGAGTGGGTCAAAGTGTCCAAATACTTGAGGTCGTGAGTGCAGAGACTGGCCAATGACGGCTCTGTGTCGAGAGGCAGACGCAGTGCATAGAAGTTCATAGTAAAAGCGAATGGGCGTCGCTTAGTGCAGCAGAGCCTGGCATTTGATATCACCACGTCTAGTTTGAGAATAGAGGTGGAGGCAGTCATTGTTGCCTTCCGCTTGATTGAGAATCAGCCGTCATTGTAACTGACTCACAGAGTATCTTGAGAAAGGTGAAGACAGGCATGCTCTGTGCAGAGTGGCAAGCATCACTTCAGAGGTCTCGGGTAGTTAGCGTCCTGTGGATATTTTCTCCAGGCATGCCGGTGTGTTGGGAAACAAACATGCAAATAGACTAGCCGGTTCTGCACCACCTGGTGGTGATTTGAAGTATGACAAGCTAGATATTGTGAGGGCCCTTTGGGAGCGAGAGAATAGTGCGGAGGTGCAAATAGATCACAGCGGTCTAAGGAGAACAGAGCTGGAAAAAAGGGGGGGGGAGGAGGAGGTGGAGTTACCATCTGATCCAGTCGACGCTCAACACTCAAGGGGAAGGCGAGACAGATATACAATCAGACAGTTACTGGTGCCATCTGAATTTGAACTTTTTGCTTGCTGCTGACGATGTGGAGGGAGAGTTTATGGGAGTGTTCCAAGGGCTATGATGTCGATTCTGAATTCAACATTCAATCTCTTCCTTTTATTTCCAGAGTCCTCCGCAGGAATTTTATTTCTGTTTTAATGTTTGTTGTCTTTGTTTCTGTCATTGTCCAGGTCATTTGGTTTCCATTGACCCATGTTTGTTTCCCAGTATTGTTTGCTTTATTACCTCTGTCACCGATCTCATCTTCTGTTTTGCCAGCTGATGACATTATACTCCCCAAGTATTTACAGTTTTGGCTCCCACATTTGTTCGTACTTTTCAAAATATTTGAGTGTTCTTGGTATTTAAAAAAAAAAAACTGGCACATTATTTGAATAATTTGGATAAGGCGATGAAGATATTGTGGTTGGCCATGAATACAACAGTGCTCTTGTCCACATTTTGTGTAGGAAACGTCTTGAGTATAATCCCCCTGGACGGTAAATCGCACGTCTGCAGCATGACCCCAGACTCAAACTACGTCTTCTGCAACTCCAACAACTTCCTGCTGGCCTTCGATGTCTACCGACACACACACCTGCTAACGGTAGCCCTGGCAAGCCAGCCGACCCACTTAGTCTTCAGCCAAGATGGCCTCAGAGCGTTCATCGGAAGCCATGGCGACGCCAAGATTACCGTCATGCACCTGGACGGCGAGACAGTCGACATGACTTATCGGCTGGCATTCGACGACAAGATGCCGGGAGATGTCATCTGCAAGTAAGTACCGTCTCTGTACTTCTACAGCCTCTCTTCCATGAGTGTTGACTGACTGACTGACTGACTTTCTACCCCACCAGGACATCACACAAGCGATAAACACCAGATGACACAATGTGCCACTATGTGGATGAGGATCGCCGTGGAGAGGTCCCAGAAACCACGTTCAGCCTTTAGGCCATGTTTATGGCCGGGCTATATTGCGGCCCCTGGCAAGAGCCAGAGTAGGGCTTCAAATAACGAAAAATGTCATCCTAAAAAGGACGGGAATTTTGCACATAGCGGTATGAACGTCCATGAGCGTTGAAAGCTAACAGAACCACACAGAGGTGGACCCATAGCCAGCAATGCGAGGACGCCAGTGTATATCTGTCTTATGTGGCTTCACCTGGCTACTGGTATACTATGACATGTCTTAGTGTCACCAGCTCCAAGCCAATCTACGGTTGTGATCTACGGTTGTGCACTACGGTTGTGCACTACGGTTGTGATCTACGGTTGTGCACTACGGTTGTGCACTACGGTTGTGATCTACGGTTGTGATCTACGGTTGTGATCTGTGGTTTTGAAGAATTTCTGCAACTACAACCAGAAATAAAGGATGCATACCGTTTATTTTACTCACAGATAAACGCAACAGCGGAAACCCGCGCTAATCTGGTAGCTAGACCAAAAATCCGGTCCCAACATCTTGAGGTTGAATCGGCATCCAGTTCAGATGTTCAAACACAATCTTGATTTCAAGAGTGATCCGGTCTAAAAGAGAACTACATAATGTCCGGGGAAGTAAAATGGCTTGTCGTTTCATCCACCTAGTGTGGATTTCATGACATCTCACGAGTACAGATTTCATGTCATTCCCCGGATACAGATTTCACGACATCCAATGAGTACAGATTTCATGACATCCAATGAGTACAGATTTCATGACGTCCAATGAGTACAGATTTCATGTCATCCCCTGAGTACAGATTTCATGACATCCAATGAGTAAAGATTTCATGTCATCCCCTGAGTACAGATTTCACGACATCCCCTGAGTACAGATTTCACGACATCCAATGAGTACAGATTTCATGTCATCCCCCGGATACAGATTTCATGTTAGCCCCTGAGTACAGATTTCACGACATCCAATGAGTACAGATTTCATGACATTCAATGAGTACAGATTTCATGACATCCAGTGAGTACAGATTTCATGACATCCAATGAGTACAGATTGCATGACATCCAATGAGTACAGATTTCATGTCATTCCCCCGGATACATTTCATGTAATCCCCCGCATACAGATTTCATGTCATCCCCTGAGTACAGATTTCATGACATCCAATGAGTACAGATTTCATGACATCTAATGAGTACAGATTGCATGACATCCAATGAGTACAGATTTCATGTCATTCCCCCGGATACATTTCATGTAATCCCCCGCATACAGATTTCATGTCATCCCCTGATTACAGATTTCACGACATCCAATGAGTACAGATTTCATGTCATCCCCCGGATACAGATTTCATTTCATCCCCTGAGTACAGATTTCACGACATCCAATGAGTACAGATTTCATGACATTCAATGAGTACAGATTTCATGACATCCAATGAGTACAGATTTCATGACATCCAATGAGTACAGATTTCAAGTCATTCCCCCGGATACATTTCATGTTATCCCCCGGATACAGATTTCATGTCATCCCCTGAGTACAGATTTCATGACATCCACCGAGTACAGATTTCATGACATCCCTAGAGTGCCGATTGGTCCGTAAATAAGTCAAGCACCACATGTCAGGTGCACTACTGGTGTGAACAGGATTGGACTTGACTTAGCCCGGCTTAATTTTACGTTACGTGACTTAGTCTGGCTTCACTTAACGTCACTGACTTGACTTAGTCTGGCTTCACGTGACGCGACTTGACCTAGTATTGTTTCACTTCACGTGATTTTACTTGACTTAGCCTGGCTTCACTTGATGCGACGTGGCATGACTTGGTCTGGCTTTTCTTGACGCGACGTGACTTGACTTAGCCTGGTTTCACTTTGTGTGACGTGACTGGACTTAACCTGATTTCACCTGACGTGACATGACTTGACTCAGTCTGGTCTCACTTGGTGTGACTTGACGTCGTTACAATTGACATACCGTGACTTGAACTTGAGAAGACCTCACTTGACGTGACATAGTTTCTCTTGACGTGACGTGATTATACGTAGCTTGGCTTGACTTGGCATGGCTTTATTTGACGGGCCGGGGCTTGGCTTGGCGTGGCGAGGCTTGACACGACGTGACGTAACTTGACTTGACGTGAGGTGGCTTGAGTTGACGTTTCTTGACTTGACATGACCTGGCATGACTTCTCTTAATTTAACTTTTCACCCGCAACTCAAGCGCTTTAATAATAGTTATCACATTTATCAACTTCTTATCAACTTATTCCTGTTCTCATATTTCTTTGCTTGTATCTCACCTAGTTTAACAACCTCACCTGACACTCTCACATTCCTTTACTTGTATCTCACCTAGTTTAACTGTCTTACCTGACGCTCTCACATTCCCGCACTTGTATGTCACCTAGTTTAACAGTCTTACCTGACGCTCTCACATTCCCGCACTTGTATGTCACCTAGTTTAACAGTCTCACCTGACGCTCTCACATTCTCGCACTTGAATCTCACCTAGTTTAACTGTCTCACCTGACGCTCTCACATTCCCGCACTTGTATGTCACCTAGTTTAACAGTCTCACCTGACGCTCTCACATTCCCGCACTTGTATCTCACCTAGTTTAACAGTCTCACCTGACGCTCTCACATTCCTTTACTTGTATCTCACCTAGTTTAACAGTCTCACCTGACGCTCTCACATTCCCGCACTTGTATGTCACCTAGTTTAACAGTCTCACCTGACGCTCTCACATTCCCGCACTTGTATCTCACCTAGTTTAACAGTCTCACCTAACGCTCTCACATTCCCGCACTTGTATGTCACCTAGTTTAACAGTCTCACCTGACGCTCTCACATTCCCGCACTTGTATCTCACCTAGTTTAACAGTCTCACCTGACGCTCTCACATTCCCGCACTTGTATCTCACCTAGTTTAACAGTCTCACCTAACGCTCTCACATTCTCGCGCTTGTATCTCACCTAGTTTAACAGTCTCACCTGACGCTCTCACATTCCCGCACTTGAATCTCACCTAGTTTAACTGTCTCACCTGACGCTCTCACATTCCCGCACTTGTATCTCACCTAGTTCAACAGTCTCACCTGACGCTCTCACATTCCCGCACTTGTATCTCACCTAGTTTAACAGTCTCACCTGACGACTCTTGCCTGCTGTTTCGTGGCCACAAACATCTGCTTGTCTATCACCGAGGCTTTGAGAAGCTGATTGCCATCTTCAAGAAGCCAGAGGACATCCCTGAAGACTACAGGCTGCCACACAGCCACCCAGTGGAGCTCCGCTTTACACAGGCTTCATTTTCGGCAGACAGCAAATTTGTGCTTGCGTCAATCTTCAGGCAAGTGCCATAAGTCAGTTGTCTACTTAATGAACTGTGTAATCATTTCCCTTTCTCTTCAAAAAATATGAACCTATGTACCCAGCGATGCAGAAGCGTAGGAAGCATTGATCGCTGACTTCCCACACGATCAGACAGACGCAGCCTGTGAACCACATTATTTCAAGCCAGTTGTGTAAGAACAAAAGGCTGTCAGGAAGGGAAATGATGACTTCTCATGCGATTACATAGAAAAGTTGAAGCATCAACAGTTTACCCCTAAAACCTGCAGTTGCCACAGAGGTGAAAATATGGGGGTGACTGCAGTCAAGCTAATACAAGGAATTCCAGAGAAATTTGACTAAAAAGCTCAACAAAATGGGGAAGCAGAAAAACGGACACAAAACAACACAACGTGACGTTTCGACGTATGTTACGTTTGTGTAGCTCACTTATGTTTGAAAAAGGTTGCCCGGTCGAAACGTCACGTTGTGTTGTTTTGTGTCCGTTTTTCTGCTTCCCCATTTTGTTGAGCTTTTTAGTCAAATTTCTCTGGAATTCCTTGAGTTGCCACAGAGGTACTATCAGCTTGTGTCAGACATGTGTTGGCTGCTGCCACAGAGGTACTATCAGCTTGTGTCAGACATGTGTTGGCTGCTGCCACAGAGGAACTATCAGCTTGTGTCAGACTTGTGTTGGCAGCTGCCACAGAGGAACTATCAGCTTGTTTCAGACATGTGTTGGCTGCTGCCACAGAGGAACTATCAGCTTGTGTCAGACATGTGTTGGCAGCTTGATGTATATTCTGTAATGAACCGTCTGTTGATAGTTTATCTCCACGTGACATTTCTAGAGAATTTTTTATGTTGACTGCCTCTCCCCCCCCCCCCCCCCCCCCCCCCATATTGTCTCCAGGAACGTCTACGTGTGGCAGATCTCGGACGGCTGCCTGAGTTCAGTCATCAAGGGACCTGTCGGCCTGATGACCTCTATGCTGGTGTCAAGGTCGAGGGGTCAAGTGGTTACACACACACAGAGCAGTCAAGAGATCCAGGTGAGTCCGTATGTGCAGCGTGCTTTACGTGTCCTAGCTACCTTACACGTCCTGCATGTCCTAGCTACCTTATACGTCCTGCATGTCCTAGCTACCTTACACGTCCTGCATGTCCTAGCTACCTTACACGTCATGCATGTCCTAGCTAACTTACACGTCCTGCATGTCCTAGCTACCTTACACGTCCTGCATGTCCTAGCTACCTTACACGTCATGCATGTTCTAGCTACCTTACACGTCATGCATGTCCTAGCTACCTTACACGCCCTGCATGTTCTAGCTACCTTACACGTCATGCATGTCCAGGCTACCTTACACGTCCTGCATGTCCTAGCTACCTTATACATCCTGCATGTCCTAGCTACCTTACACGTCATGCATGTCCTAGCTACCTTACACGTCCTGCATGTTCTAGCTACCTTACACGTCATGCATGTTCTAGCTACCTTACACGTCATGCATGTCCTAGCTACCTTACACGTCCTGCATGTCCTAGCTACCTTACACGTCATGCATGTTCTAGCTACCTTACACGTCATGCATGTCCTAGCTACCTTACACGTCCTGCATGTTCTAGCTACCTTACACGTCCTGCATGTCTTAGCTACCTTACACGTCCTGCATGTCCTAGCTACCTTACACGTCCTGCATGTCCTAGCTACCTTACACGTCCTGCATGTCCTAGCTACCTTACACGTCCTGCATGTCCTAGCTACCTTACACGCCCTGCATGTCCTAGCTACCTTATACATCCTGCATGTCCTAGCTACCTTACACGTCATGCATGTCCTAGCTACCTTACACGTCCTGCATGTTCTAGCTACCTTACACGTCATGCATGTTCTAGCTACCTTACACGTCATGCATGTCCTAGCTACCTTACACGTCCTGCATGTCCTAGCTACCTTACACGTCATGCATGTTCTAGCTACCTTACACGTCATGCATGTCCTAGCTACCTTACACGTCCTGCATGTTCTAGCTACCTTACACGTCCTGCATGTCTTAGCTACCTTACACGTCCTGCATGTCCTAGCTACCTTACACGTCCTGCATGTCCTAGCTACCTTACACGTCCTGCATGTCCTAGCTACCTTACACGTCCTGCATGTCCTAGCTACCTTACACGCCCTGCATGTCCTAGCTACCTTACACGTCATGTATGTCCAGGCTACCTTACACGTCCTGCATGTCCTAGCTACCTTATACATCCTGCATGTCCTAGCTACCTTACACGTCGTGCATGTCCAGGCTACCTTATACGTCCTGCATGTCCTAGCTACCTTATACATCCTGCATGTCCTAGCTACCTTTTTCATCCTGCATGTCCTAGCTACCTTATACATCCTGCATGTCCTAGCTACCTTTTTCATCCTGCATGTCATAGCTACCTTATACATCCTGCATGTCCTAGCTACCTTGCACGTCCAGCATGTCCTAGCTACCTTACACGTCCTGCATGTCCTAGCTACCTTATACATGCTGCATGTCCTAGCTACCTTACTCGTCCAGCATGTCCTAGCTACCTTACACGTCCTGCATGTCTTAGCTACCTTACACGTCCTGCATGTCCTAGCTACATTATATGTCATGCATGTCCTAGCTACCTTATACGTCCTGCATGTCCTAGCTACCTTACACGTCCTGCATGGCCTAGCTACCTTACATGTCCTGCATATCCTAACTACCTTACATGTCCTGCATATCCTAACTACCTTACACGTCCTGCATATCCTAACTACCTTACATGTCCTGCATATCCTAACTACCTTACACGTCCTGCATATCCTAACTACCTTACATGTCCTGCATGTCCTAGCTACCTTATACTTCCTTAATGTCCTAGCTACCTTACACGTCCTGCATATCCTAGCTACCTTATATGTCCTGCATGTTCTAGCTACCTTACACGTCCAGCATGTTCTAGCTACCTTACATGTCTAGTATGTTCTAGCTACCTTACACGTTCAGCATGTTCTAGCTACCTTACACGTCCAGCATGTTCTAGCTACCTTACACGTTTTGCATGTTCTAGCTACCTTATACGTCCAGCATGTTCTAGCTATCACACACGTCCAGCATGTTCTACCTTACACGTCCAGTATGTTCTAATTACCTTACACGTCCTGCGTGTTTTAACTACCTTACACGTTCGGCATGTTCTAACTACCTTACACGTCCAGTAAGTTCTAACTAGCTTACACGTCCAGCATGTTCTAACTACCTTACACGTCCAGCATGTTCTAACTACCTTACACGTTCAGCATGTTCTAGCTACATTATCTTGCATGTCCTGTCAGTCGCCATCATCATTTCCAGCTATACTCGTCCCAAGCTCGTCATCATACCCTGGCTCTACTCGAGCTGAGTTCCGGGCAATGTTTCGGCTCAGATTGTTGGCAGAACAGTCAAATGGTCAAAGAGCAATTTTTTTTTGCTCGCCAGAAAACCGACTATGGGGGTCAAGGCTGTAACTAAAGCCGTGACCTTGGCATGCCATTGGGGTTATCCAATCAGTATGCTTGTGTGGAAGGGTTGGGTTCAAAGACTGGCTGAAGTTTCTGACGGGGTTAGGACAACAGTTTCATGTTTGTGCCAGGGCGTGCGGAAATGAATAAGCTGAAATGTTAAAAACAGGAGACCAGCGGACTAGGCCCATATTTATGGACACCCCCCCCCCCCCTTTTCCTCTCTCCGCCCAGTCTTTCCACGTCCCACCAAAGAAACGGTTGAATATATTAATCAAAGGGTTATTAAAGTGGCAAGTCGACTGCAACAACTGTAGGCGGAAGCTTCAGTAGAAAGGCCAACCATGGTTGACTGGATGTCGTCAGTGGCTACACGCTCAGGGTTGACTTAAGAAAAGATCGTAGGAAGTTCTGGAACTCTTGTCTTTTTGGTAAGCAACTTCGAATAACTGCGTGCCAACATCCGCATCTTCGTCGTGTCATTACCAATGTCATAACTATTATTATAACCGTCACAGTCTTTGCTTTAATTAGTAAGCTAAATTTGTTAACAGCACATAAGTCCTAGACCAAACTCCACAAGGGGACGAACCAGAAACTTTCGCCGGAAAAACAAGAAGATTGATTTAAACATCTTTTTTACTGTGATAATCACAATGACTGTCATCAATGTCTGACAGGTGTGGAGGCCAGGGCAGACCAGACAACAAGTGCTCACCCCGGACCGGCTGACGGACGCCATCAGCGAGTTCCTGGTGACGGCGGACACGAGCCTGGTGTTTGTCAAATGTCTGGACAGCGACGCCGTGGCGGTCATCGCCATGGACACGGGATGTCTGCTAGACCTGCTGACTCACGACACGCACGTGCAGGATCTAGCTATCAGCCCAGACGGAGGCTGGGCACTAGTGGCCACATCTCCCAGGGTCAAGGGCACGGCTTTCAGGTTGTGGAACATGACCGAGAGACACGTTGTCATGGAGATGGGCGATGTTTTTGGTTACTGTGTGGGCATGAACTCCTCTCCTTATATGATTGTAGTTGCCCAGAAAGACTCGACGTTCAGATCTCCATACCATGTTTGTGTCATTGACGTGTCCAAGTCTCAGTACCAGCTGTGTGAGTACCCCTGTGCTGAGGTAACAGTTGTCAGATCCAAACCATTTGTGACACACAGCGACCAGTATCTGATCATCCACTCAAGCGTAGACCGTGAGAGCGGCGAGGCTACGGTCTCTCGTCCGTGCTTGTACATCGGCCATGTTGACAGCCAGATGTCAGTGTCGGCGTGGGACGCCACCAACATGGAGTTTGAAGATCACCTGCAGGATATCATGGAAGTCAGACCATGCCGGCATCAACACGGCAACATGGTGGCGGCCATATTTTCTTGTGTTGATCACTACAGACCTGGTTCTACAGACAGCAGAAGTGGCGGAGAAGCAGGTCAGACCTATGGCTTCTTTCTCCTGGACGTCTCCATCGGATCTCTGACCTTACTGTGCATTCCATTTCCCAAGCCTAGCTATGGCTTCAAAGCACACCCATTAATCTTCAGTTCTGACTTCAGCATGTGCCTCGATGAAATGTCCAATATCTTCCACACGCCTTCGGGGGAGTTCATAGGTCAGGTGCCGTGTCACGTGGTTCCGCCAAGAGCGTTTGCCTTGCGAGGATCTGTGGTGGTCTATTACCTGGGTTCCACACTTCGACTTGTTCACGTGACCACCGGCCAGGTCATGGCTAACTGTGAGGTCAAGGCCACTATCTGCCACGCCCACGTGTGCCCAGACGAGCGGACCCTGCTGGTGGGATGTGAGGATGGCACCGTGCTGGCCTTCACCGTCCTTGACCCCGACAATGAGGATGTTGCACTGGTTGTGAAGAATATTCCCTCCAGAAAGGTCGCCAGTCCACGGATGGCGAAGCTAAGTTCAGAGAGGTAATCACTGTATTCTTGTTTCACTATATGAATGTATGTATGCAATATTGAATAAAAATGGGACATTTTCACTGAAAAAAGAGCAATTTTCGTTATTAGGTTTACAAATGTATTAACAGATATCCATAAAAACGACCATTGTAAAAAAAAATTGGTCTAACATTGTAATTGACAAAAAGAAACTGTTTTAGTGTAGTGACCCCTCAATCCTTTCTGTGGCCTACAGTCAGGACCGTGGTCAGTTTAGTTTTACTACATTTTAGTCCTAGACAGTCTTGGTTTTACTACATTTTAGTCCTAGACAGTCTTGGTTTCACTACATTTTAGTCTTAGACAGTCTTGGTTTTACTACATTTTAGTCCTAGACAGTCTTGGTTTTACTACATTTTAGTCCTAGACAGTCTTGGTTTTACTACATTTTAGTCTTAGACAGTCTTGGTTTTACTACATTTTAGTCTTAGACAGTCTTGGTTTTACTACATTTTAGTCTTAGACAGTCTTGGTTTTACTACATTTTAGTCTTAGACAGTCTTGGTTTCACTACATTTTAGTCTTAGATAGTCTTGGTTTTACTACATTTTAGTCTTAGACAGTCTTGGTTTTACTACATTTTAGTCTTAGACAGTCTTGGTTTAACTACATTTTAGTCCTAGACAGTCTTGGTTTTACTACATTTTAGTCTTAGACAGTCTTGGTTTTACTACATTTTAGTCCTAGACAGTCTTGGTTTCACTACATTTTAGTCCTGGACAGTCTTGGTTTTACTACATTTTAGTCCTAGACAGTCTTGGTTTTACTACATTTTAGTCCTAGACAGTCTTGGTTTCACTACATTTTAGTCCTAGACAGTCTTGGTTTTACTACATTTTAGTCCTAGACAGTCTTGGTTTCACTACATTTTAGTCCTGGACAGTCTTGGTTTTACTACATTTTAGTCCTAGACAGTCTTGGTTTTACTACATTTTAGTCCTAGACAGCCTTAGTTTAACTACATTTTAGTCCTAGACAGTCTTGGTTTTACTACATTTTAGTCCTAGACAGTCTTGGTTTTACTACATTTTAGTCCTAGACAGTCTTGGTTTCACTACATTTTAGTCCTAGACAGTCTTGGTTTTACTACATTTTAGTCCTAGACAGCCTTAGTTTAACTACATTTTAGTCCTAGACAGTCTTGGTTTTACTACATTTTAGTCCTAGACAGTCTTGGTTTCACTACATTTTAGTCCTAGACAGTCTTGGTTTTACTACATTTTAGTCCTAGACAGCCTTAGTTTAACTACATTTTAGTCCTAGACAGTCTTGGTTTTACTACATTTTAGTCCTAGACAGTCTTGGTTTTACTACATTTTAGTCCTAGACAGTCTTGGTTTCACTACATTTTAGTCCTAGACAGTCTTGGTTTTACTACATTTTAGTCCTAGACAGCCTTAGTTTAACTACATTTTAGTCCTAGACAGTCTTGGTTTTACTACATTTTAGTCCTAGATAGTCTTGGTTTTACTACATTTTAGTCCTAGACAGTCTTGGTTTCATTAGTCCTAGACAGTCTTGGTTTTACTACATTTTAGTCCTAGACAGCCTTAGTTTTAACTACATTTTAGTCCTAGACAGTCTTGTTAGTTTACTACATTTTAGTCCTAGACAGTCTTGGTTTAACTACATTTTAGTCCTAGACAGCCTTAGTTTAACTACATTTTAGTCTTAGACAGGTTTCACTACATTTTAGTCCTAGACAGCCTTAGTTTAACTACATTTTAGTCCTAGATAGTCTTGGTTTTACTACATTTTAGTCCTAGATAGTCTTAGATAGTCTTGGTTTCACTACATTTTAGTCCTAGATAGTCTTGGTTTCACTACATTTTACAGTTTGGTTTCACTACATTTTAGTCCTAGATAGTCTTGGTTTCACTACATTTTAGTCCTAGATAGTCTTGGTTTCACTACATTTTAGTCCTAGATAGTCTTGGTTTCACTACATTTTAGTCCTAGATAGTCTTGGTTTTACTACATTTTAGTCCTAGACAGTCTTGGTTTCACTACATTTTAGTCTTAGACAGTCTTGGTTTTACTACATTTTAGTCCTAGACAGTCTTGGTTTTACTACATTTTAGTCCTGGACAGTCTTGGTTTCACTACATTTTAGTCCTGGATAGTCTTGGTTTCACTACATTTTAGTCCTGGATAGTCTTGGTTTTACTACATTTTAGTCCTAGATAGTCTTGGTTTCACTACATTTTAGTCCTGGATAGTCTTGGTTTCACTACATTTTAGTCTTAGACAGTCTTGGTTTTACTACATTTTAGTCCTAGACAGTCTTGGTTTCACTACATTTTAGTCCTAGATAGTCTTGGTTTCACTACATTTTAGTCCTGGATAGTCTTGGTTTCACTACATTTTAGTCCTAGATAGTCTTGGTTTCACTACATTTTAGTCCTAGATAGTCTTGGTTTCACTACATTTTAGTCCTAGACAGTCTTGGTTTTACTACATTTTAGTCCTAGACAGTCTTGGTTTCACTACATTTTAGTCCTAGATAGTCTTGGTTTTACTACATTTTAGTCCTGGACAGTCTTGGTTTTACTACATTTTAGTCCTAGATAGTCTTGGTTTTACTACATTTTAGTCCTAGATAGTCTTGGTTTTACTACATTTTAGTCCTAGACAGCCTTGGTTTCGCTACATTTTAGTCTTAGACAGTCTTGGTTTTACTACATTTTAGTCCTGGACAGTCTTGGTTTAACTACATTTTAGTCCTGGACAGTCTTGGTTTTACTACATTTTAGTCCTAGATAGTCTTGGTTTTACTACATTTTAGTCCTAGATAGTCTTGGTTTTACTACATTTTAGTCCTAGATAGTCTTGGTTTCACTACATTTTAGTCTTAGACAGTCTTGGTTTTACTACATTTTAGTCCTAGACAGCCTTGGTTTTACTACATTTTAGTCCTAGATAGTCTTGGTTTTACTACATTTTAGTCCTAGATAGTCTTGGTTTTACTACATTTTAGTCTTAGACAGTCTTGGTTTTACTACATTTTAGTCCTAGACAGCCTTGGTTTCGCTACATTTTAGTCCTAGAAGTCTTGGTTTTACTACATTTTAGTCCTAGACAGCCTTGGTTTTACTACATTTTAGTCCCAGATAGTCTTGGTTTTACTACATTTTAGTCCTAGATAGTCTTGGTTTCACTACATTTTAGTCTTAGACAGTCTTGGTTTTACTACATTTTAGTCCTAGACAGCCTTGGTTTCGCTACATTTTAGTCCTAGATAGTCTTGGTTTTACTACATTTTAGTCCTGGACAGTCTTGGTTTCGCTACATTTTAGTCCTGGACAGTCTTGGTTTCGCTACATTTTAGTCCTAGACAGCCTTGGTTTCGCTACATTTTTGTCTTGCTCAACTTTATTGAATTGTGGATTCATTCAAGCTGGCACTGTTTTAACTATACAGCACTCACGGTTCACTTATACAGCACTCACGGTTCACCTATACAGCACTCACGGTTAACATATACAGCACTCACGGTTTAACTATACAGCACTCACAGTTTAACTATACAGCACTCACGGTTTAACAACTATACAGCACTCACGGTTTAACAACTATACAGCACTCACGGTTTAACTATACAGCACTCACGGTTTAGCAACTATATAGCACTCACGGTTTAGCAACTATATAGCACTCACGGTTTAGCAACTATATAGCACTCACGGTTTAACTATACAGCACTCACGGTTTAGCAACTATATAGCACTCACGGTTTAACTATACAGCACTTACCGTTTAACAACTATATAGCACTCACGGTTTAACTATACAGCACTCACGGTTTAACAACTATACAGCAGTCACGGTTTAACAACTATATAGCACTCACAGTTTAACTATACAGCACTTACCGTTTAACAATTATACAGCACTCACCGTTTAACAACTATATAGCACTCATGGTTTAACAACTATATAGCAGTCACGGTTTAACAACTATAAAGCACTCACGGTTCACTTATACAGCACTCACGGTTCACCTATACAGCACTCACGGTTCACCTATACAGCACTCACAGTTTAACTATACAGCACTCACGGTTCACCTATACAGCACTCACGGTTTAACTATACAGCACTCACAGTTTAACTATACAGCACTCACGGTTTAACTTAAATATACAGAACTCATGGTTTAACTATACAGCACTCACAGTTTAACTATACAGCACTCACGGTTTAACTATATAGCACTCACGGTTTAACTATACAGCACCTACGGTTCACCTATATAGCACCCACGGTTTAACAACTATACAGCACTCACAGTTCAACTATATAGCACTCACTATCTAACTATACAGCACTGACGGTTTAACTATACAGCACTCATGGTTTAACTATACAGCACTCATGGTTTAAATTATAGCACTCACGGTTTAACTATAGAGCACTCATGGTTTAACTATACACCACTATGGTTTAACAACTATGAAGCACTCATGGTTTAACTATACAGCACTCACTGCTTAACAACTATATAGCACTCACGGTTTTACAACTATATAGCACTCACGGTTTAACAACTATATAGCACTCACGGTTTAACAACTATATAGCACTCACGGTTTTACAACTATACAGCACTCACGGCTTAACTATATAGCACTCACGGTTTAACAACTATATAGCACTCACGGTTTAACAACTATACAGCACTCACGGTTTAACAACTATACAGCAGTCACGGTTTAACTATACAGCACTCACGGTTTAACTATACAGCACTCACGGTTTAACTATACAGCACTCACGGTTTAACAACTATATAGCAGTCACGGTTTAACTATACAGCACTCACGGTTTAACTATACAGCACTCACGGTTTAACAACTATACAGCAGTCACGGTTTAACTATACAGCACTCACGGTTTAACTATACAGCACTCACGGTTTAACTATACAGCACTCACGGTTTAACAACTATATAGCAGTCACGGTTTAACTATACAGCACTCACGGTTTAACTATACAGCACTCACGGTTTAACTATACAGCACTCACGGTTTAACAACTATATAGCAGTCACTGTTTAACTATACAGCACTCACGGTTTAACAACTATACAGCAGTCACGGTTTAACAACTATACAGCACTCACGGTTTAACTATACAGCACTCACGGTTTAACAACTATATAGCAGTCACTGTTTAACTATACAGCACTCACGGTTTAACAACTATACAGCAGTCACTGTTTAACTATACAGCACTCACTTTTCAACAACTATACAGCAGTCACAGTTTAACTATACAGCACTCACGGTTTAACTTCAGTGTCCCTGAGTTTAACAATATTGTAGTCACTTCAGCTTCAATATATTGCAGTTTACCAACAGTTTATCTAAATTTACCTTTATTGTACCTCGTTTTGACTTTCTTGTACCTCGGTTTAACTTTCTTGTACCTCGGTTTAACTTTCTTGTACCTCGGTTTAACTTTCTTGTACCTCGGTTTAACTTTCTTGTACCTCGGTTTAACTTTCTTGTACCTCGGTTTAACTTTCTTGTACCTCGGTTTAACTTTCTTGTACCTCGGTTTAACTTTCTTGTACCTCGGTTTAACTTTCTTGTACCTCGGTTTAACTTTCTTGTACCTCGGTTTAACTTTCTTGTACCTCGGTTTAACTTTCTTGTACCTCGGTTTAACTTTCTTGTACCTCGGTTTAACTTTCTTGTACCTCGGTTTAACTTTCTTGTACCTCGGTTTAACTTTCTTGTACCTCGGTTTAACTTTCTTGTACCTCGGTTTAACTTTCTTGTACCTCGGTTTAACTTTCTTGTACCTCGGTTTAACTTTCTTGTACCTCGGTTTAACTTTCTTGTACCGCTTAACTTCAGTACTCAAACACTGAACTTTATTGTGTCCTAGTTTAATGTTACTGTAAACATTCTCCTACTGAGACTTTTTGGTTCTCTGACAGATCCTGGGACAAAACGGTACCATCTTCAGCCCGTTATCAGCCTTTACCAGACCACAGACAATCCTGGCCGGACCACAGGCAGATCTCACCGGAAGACACTCAAGCTTCAGAGGGCCAGAGGCAGTCCTTGCTGGACCACACACAAACCTCGCCGGACCACAGGCAGACCTCGCCGGACCACAGGCAAACCTCGCCGGATCACAGACAATCCCCGCCGGACCACAGGCAGAACTCACCGGACCACAGACAGTCCCTGCCGGACCACAGGCAGACCTCACCGGACTACAGGCAGACCTCACCGGACCAGAGGCAGTCCTTGCCAGAAGACACTCAAGCTTCAGAAGACCACAGGCATCACTCACCGGACCACAGGCAGCCCTCACCGGACCACAGGCAGCCCTCACCGGAAGACATTCCGGCTTTAGAGGCCCCCAGGCAGCCCTCGTCTTCCCCTGACCGCATGTAGTGGTCAGTAGCTCACTCCTTCTCTCCATACGACGTTAGTCTGTGGCCTTACCCCCCCCCCCCCTCCCCACCCTACCTCCCCAAATAGACTGCTTGTGTTGTTGCCCGTGCTCTCAACAAGAACCTGGGTCTGCAACAGTTAGCTTATTTTACAGTTTATTTCCCGAATATTTCTTGTTGACAAAACATTTGACATAAAATGGTTTGTTATAAAATATGGCAGGAAGAGGCTTTATGAATCGTTTATAAAGAAACGAGAAAATCAGAAAAAGGGGCGAGGTAAAGTGTGCAGGGTGGGGATAAAAAATATTTATTTTTTAATTGAGATAAGAGTATGCCGACCATTGATCCTCACAGCAAACGTGAGAACGACCAAATCGTGACTGGGGCGATCTTTCCAGGCAGAGGCTGCGGGTTTCATCTCCGAACGAAAATTCTATGTCAGGCACACAGATGCCAGTTTGGCCGTGGGGGTCAGACTTATTGACTGAGTCAATCCTCTTACTTGGGGTGTAGAGGTTTGCCAGAGAGATCGCCACACTTCTTTATCAGCATTTTTCTGTTAGGATTTGTTCTATTCCAGTCCTCTGTCAGTTAGAGACTCTCAGATGTTGTCTTCCCAACGAGCTCTGGGTCGTTCTTGTGGTCTGGTTCCCTGGTGCTTAGCCTCCTGTAGTGACCGATTTTCTCTCCCATTCTGTATACATGACCAAACCATCGTGACTGTGACTGGTCCACGCGTGTATGTAAGGCTTAGGGTTCAAGATCCTGACGTATCGCCTGACTGCGAACTTTGACCACTCCTGTCACTTGGACAATCTTTCTCAGATATCTCATTTCTGTGCCAAAAACTGGCTTCTGTGAGCTGTTGTCATTACCCATGATTGACACCCATAGGCCAGGACTATTGTTTTTGCCCATGATTAACACCCACAGGCCAGGACTAGTACATATTTAGAGTAGTAGACAGCCCTTTCGTCCTATTGCGAATATCTTTGTTTGCTGAGAAACATTTGGTTTGTGGCCTAGGAAAAGGGAACAGTCTCCCAGCTGAAACTTTTCAAACAGACAGCCTCTGTCTTAATTTCTTCATTCCAGGCTATTACAACTCCCAGCTGTGTGAACTGGCTGAGCTGCTCCAATACACATTACCCCATCATGATCTGTTGAACTGTCTGACCTGATCCAATGTACACTGTCCCACCATGATCTGTTGAACTGTCTGAGCTGCTCCAATACACACTACCCCACCATGATCTGTTGAACTGTCTGAGCTGCTCCAATACACACTGTCCCACCATGATCTGTTGAACTGTCTGAGCTGCTCCAATACACACTACCCCACCATGATCTGTTGAACTGTCTGAGCTGTTCCAATGCACACTGTCCCACCATGATCTGTTGAACTGTCTGAGCTGCTCCAATACACACTAACCCACCATGATCTGTTGAACTGTCTGAGCTGATCCAATGTACACTGTCCCACCATGATCTGTTGAACTGTCCGAGCTGCTCCAATGTACACTACCCCACCATGATCTGTTGAACTGTCTAAGCTGATCCAATGTACACTACCCCATCATGATCTGTTTAACTGTCTGAGCTGCTCCAATACACACTACCCCACCATGATCTGTTGAACTGTCTGAGCTGATTTAATGTACACTACCCCACCATGATCTGTTAAACTGTCTGAGCTGATCCAATACACACTGCCCCACCATGATCTGTTGAACTGTCTGAGCTGATCCAATGTACACTACCCCACCATGATCTGTTGAACTGTCTGAGCTGATCCAATGTACACTACCCCACCATGATCTGTTGAACTGTCTGAGCTGCTCCAATACACACTACCCCACCATGATCTGTTGAACTGTCTGAGCTGTTCCAATGTACACTACCCCATCATGATCTGTTGAACTGTCTGAGCTGTTCTAATGTACACTACCCCATCATGATCTGTTGAACTGTCTGAGCTGTTCCAATACACACGGTCCCACCATGATCTGTTGAACTGTCTGAGCTGCTCCAATGTACACTACCCCATCATGATCTGTTGAACGGTCTGAGCTGTTCTAATGTACACTACCCCATCATGATCTGTTGAACTGTCTGGGCTGCTCCAATACACACTACCCCACCATGATCTGTTGAACTGTCTGAGCTGCTCCAATGTACACTACCCCACCATGATCTGTTGAACTGTCTGAGCTGATCCAATGTACACTACCCCATCATGATCTGTTTAACTGTCTGAGCTGCTCCAATACACACTACCCCACCATGATCTGTTGAACTGTCTGAGCTGATTTAATGTACACTACCCCATCATGATCTGTTAAACTGTCTGAGCTGATCCAATGTACACTACCCCACCATGATCTGTTGAACTGTCTGAGCTGCTCCAATACACACTACCCCATCATGATCTGTTGAACTGTCTGAGCTGCTCCAATACACACTACCCCACCATGATCTGTTGAACTGTCTGAGCTGATCCAATGTACACTACCCCACCATGATCTGTTGAACTGTCTGAGCTGTTCCAATGTACACTACCCCATCATGATCTGTTGAACTGTCTGAGCTGTTCTAATGTACACTACCCCATCATGATCTGTTGAACTGTCTGAGCTGTTCCAATACACACGGTCCCACCATGATCTGTTGAACTGTCTGAGCTGCTCCAATGTACACTACCCCATCATGATCTGTTGAACGGTCTGAGCTGTTCTAATGTACACTACCCCATCATGATCTGTTGAACTGTCTGAGCTGCTCCAATACACACTACCCCACCATGATCTGTTGAACTGTCTGAGCTGCTCCAATACACACTACCCCACCATGATCTGTTGAACTGTCTGAGCTGCTCCAATACACACTACCCCACCATGATCTGTTGAACTGTCTGAGCTGCTCCAATACACAATGTCTTATCATGATTTGTTGAACTGTCTGAGCTGCTCCAATACACACTACCCTACCATGATCTGTTGAACTGTCTGAGCTGCTCCAATGCACAATGTCTTATCATGATCTGTTGAACTGTCTGAGCTGCTCCAATGTACACTACCCCACCATGATCTGTTGAACTGTCTGAGCTGATCCAATGTACACTACCCCACCATGATCTGTTGAACTGTCTGAGCTGATCCAATGTACACTACCCCACCAAGATTTGTTGAACTGTCTGAGCTGATCCAATGTACACTACCCCATCATGATCTGTTGAACTGTCTGAGCTGTTCCAATGTACACTACCCCACCATGATCTGTTGAACTGTCTGAGCTGCTCCAAATCACACTACCCCACCATGATCTGTTGAACTGTCTGAGCTGATCCAATGTACACTGCCCCACCATGATCTGTTGAACTGTCTGAGCTGCTCCAATACACACTACCCCACCATGATCTGTTAAACTGTCTGAGCTGCTCCAATGTACACTACCCCACCATGATCTGTTGAACTGTCTGAGCTGTTCTAATGTACACTACCCCACCATGATCTGTTGAACTGTCTGAGCTGATCCAATGCACACTACCCCACCATGATCTGTTGAACTGTCTGAGCTGATCCAATGCACACTGCCCTACCATGATCTGTTGAACTGTCTGAGCTGATCCAATGCACACTACCCCACCATGATCTGTTAAACTGTCTGAGCTGATCCAATGTACACTACCCCACCATGATCTGTTGAACTGTCTGAGCTGCTCCAATGTACACTACCCCACCATGATCTGTTGAACTGTCTGAGCTGATCCTATGTACACTACCCCACCATGATCTGTTGAACTGTCTGAGCTGATCCAATGCACACTACCCCACCATGATCTGTTGAACTGTCTGAGCTGATCCAATGCACACTACCCCACCATGATCTGTTGAACTGTCTGAGCTGATCCAATGTACACTACCCCACCATGATCTGTTGAACTGTCTGAGCTGCTCCAATGTACACTACCCCACCATGATCTGTTGAACTGTCTGAGCTGATCCTATGTACACTACCCCACCATGATCTGTTGAACTGTCTGAGCTGATCCAATGCACACTACCCCACCATGATCTGTTGAACTGTCTGAGCTGATCCAATGCACACTGTCCTACCATGATCTGTTGAACTGTCTGAGCTGCTCCAATACACACTACCCCACCATGATTTGGTGTTTCTTCTCCACTCCTAAGGTCGCCATCATGGTGGTCAAAAGATCAAAATATAGGGCAACAGTTTCAGGGCCGCATTGGAAATGATGGACTTAATGTAATGACAAATTTTCTTGTATATGTAGAAAAAGATCTACTGACAGATACATGTTGATATGTACATGTTGATATGTACTGGCATATGTATTCTGTGATAAATATTACACAGTGTGATAACTATGAGAAAATATACTGTGATACATGTTATTAAATGAATTGTGATAAATAGTTTAACATTTATAGTAAAACCACTTGTTTCAAGGTTGTTATATTGTCACCTGCCTCACTGTTCTATTGGTGTTCTCCGTCTGTGCATTTATCATGAAACATTTAATCACTGTATGTGGAGAGAGTCTTATGTTGTTTCACCCAACGTTGACTGTTGATTCTGGTTTAGATTTCCATCTCATATATGCTACCGTCTGCAATGAAAGAAGTCACCTAATCTTTGTTCCATTCAGTCATCGACCGGCCATGAGAGAAGTCACCTAATCTCTGTTCCATTCAGTCATCGACCGGCCATGAGAGAGGTCACCTAATCTCTGTTCCATTCTGACATCCACTGGCCATGAGAGAAGTCACCTAATCTCTGTTCCATTCTGTCATCGACTGGCCAGGAAAGAAGTCACCTAATCTTTGTTCCATTCAGTCATCGACCGGCCATGAGAGAAGTCACCTAATCTCTGTTCCATTCAGTCATCGACCGGCCATGAGAGAGGTCACCTAATCTCTGTTCCATTCTGACATCCACTGGCCATGAGAGAAGTCACCTAATCTCTGTTCCATT